AATTAGATCACTTTCAATATTTTTTTCCCTCCACTTTGAATAATAATACTGACGTTTTACGGAAAATTCTCGAACAAAGACTATCAAGCCTTCACTGCTTTGAGGCGTTTGTTCAAGTTCGTTTGGAATGATTCGCCTCGTTCGCCTTCGTTCGTGTTCGTGTTTGTTCTTCTTTGTATTTTCTTGTTCGTCATGTTCGTTCACTAGGTGAGGATGTGCCTTTATTTACGCTGTTTGAAATGTTTTCATTTTTTGTGATTTCAGACCCATCTATTAGCGTAAGTGATCAAACTGCATAAGTGCCCATTTGACAGTTGGCATGTTTTTGACAGTACATCAATATCTTAATCTTAAATATGTTGTGATTTAATTAATCAAGTTAATTTACTATTTACGCTGCATTTTATGTTTTCAATCAATTTTTAAAAACTACTATATTAATGCATATTTTTTTTGTTACACATGTCTCATACAAAGTTACAAATATCGTAAATTTGACATGAACTGTATCCCCGGAAGGAAATCCAATTTGTTTTCTAGATATAAAAATTGAGTCTGAAAGGGGTAAACATTTACATATATAATGTTATTATATTATGTATTTAGCCCATTATCATATTTGTCAAAATATTAAACCTTTTTTTATAACTTGCGCAATATCATAAATATCAAGGTGATCCAATTTTCTACTTTTATAGATTCAGGTTTTCATCAGCATTCTGTTTTCTGATTTTGCTTAACTAACGTGTTATTAATATCAATCTAATTGTAATATTTATAAAAAAAATAAAATCAATCTTTATAGGTGTAAATTATTTAAACAATTCTTTCAAAATTCACAATGCAGCAATTGAACAAGTGTCACAATTTTTTTTACTGACAGTTATATCAAATTAAAATGAAAATATAGTTGTTTTAAAATAAAATTAAATATATAATATTAAAAATAATCATTTAAGGAAGAAATATCTACTTCTAATTTATTTGAGTTCTAATTGTTTTGATCTTGGGAATGTTTTATTCTATATTCTTAAATTGACTGCTTAGATTCAAATTTATCTTTCTTTTCTTCATTAAAAATTATTTATCTTATTAATATATCCTTTACAATCAGCACTCTTGCTCAATTTTTGTTAATCAAAAAAATTAAGAATAATTCCCTGCATCACTAAATTAATGAATAATATTTCAGTTGGGCGCATAGTTGTTGAGCTTTTTAAAAATGTCGTACCAATCACTGTTGAAAATTTTCGAGCCTTATGCACAGGAGAAAAAGGCATCGGTTCATTAGGAAAACCTTTGCATTATAAAGGCTGTATATACATAAAGTAGTTAATATATTTATGATTCAAACTGGGGATTTTGTAAATAATGATGGCACAAATGGAGAAAGTATATATGGTCTGACATTCGATGATGAGAATTTTGAATTATCCGTAAGTGATTAAAATACATGCTACATGATTGTGGATTCATAAAAAAAACAAAATATGTTTTGAAATAGTGCTCTTGTTTCTAGCATGTGGAGGGTGTACTGTCAATGGCAAATGCTGGTCCTAACTCCAATAACTCTCAATTCATTATAACGACTGTTGTTAGTTCTCATTTAGATGGCACAAATGTTGTTTTTGGTAGGGTGTTACGAGGCCTAGGTATTGTTAAAGAAATTGAGAAACTTGAGACTGATGCAAATGGAAAACCTATTAAAGTACTTAGTGACACCTCATTTTTTATATTCGTATTTTTAAATTATTGTACAACTTTGTTTTCATATTATATTAGACTTGTATAATTGATGATTGTGGGGAAATAGCTCAAGGCGAAAGATGGGGCTTTGAAGATAATGACATAACTAATGATAGTCTCCCACCATGGCCAGATGACTGGGATTACGATGAAATAACGAAGGTATATCTTGTTTATGTTTACACATGTTAATATTTATGATATTTAAAAACAATCTCAATCGTTTTTACTCATCTTAGATTCATAGATTAACAGTAACATAATCTTTTAATTAAGTAGGAACCATAGTAACATATTTATTAAGGAAAAATGCAACTAGTTACAAAAACCATTTTGTCCGTGTGGTACAAAAAAATGGCGTACAGGGTAAGGATATACTAGGATACTAACATTTACTGTCTTCACGAATAAATCGTTTGTTTTTTTTGGGACATCATGTCTGTCAATCGTGTTTAACGGAATGTAAAGAAAATTGACACACATTATTAAAACCTCCATTAAAAATCTGATAATTTGATGTGCATATGTCTAATGATCATTTTTAACCGCCGATTTTTTTTTTATTTTTATTCACTAGATCTCCGAAACCGCTAGACCTGTCTTCCCAAAAATTTAACCAGTTCTTCATCTTGTCAATACAAGTAAAATGTTTTTTGAATTATTAAAATCGGACGCTCCGTTCTCTTAAAAACTGAGTTACCGTTTTTGGCACTTTTTGTCCCGTATCTTCGAAACGGCTAGACCTGCCTTTGCCAAAAACTAATCAGCACGTCTCCTTATCGAATCGAATGTTCTTTGAATAATTGAAGTCGGTTGAATCGTGTTCCCGAAATCGTCGACGAAAATTTGTATCCGCACACATACACACACACATCAATTTTTTTAAGGTATTCCAAAATGTTCAGAAACCTTTGAAACGTGAACATATGCGAAAATTTTTATTTTCGATTTTTTTGCTATTATTATAACTTACCCTACAGGAAGTTAACAATCAATTGAAATTCCATCAAACACCTGATAATTGCAATAAAATTGATTGAATTCACTAGTACCTTCATAAGGTCGTTAAAATAAATACAAATTAATAGACATAATTACAAATGACAATGAATAAGTCCCAAAATAATCTTTTAAAGGCGCGATATACGTTTGAACTGGTTACTACGACAAGACTGTGACAACATTGCTCAAAATTTGTGAGGATTGTAATTATGGCTTTCCTCATGTTTTATAACTAGCCTAAAAATTTTAAATAAGCTACTGTGTCATTTTGTCCATATTTCTTTTATACATATTTACTTACAAGCATGAAATTCTGATTGATGTTTTAGAAAGAAGTTTTGGAGAATAAGATTGCTAACATTAAATTAGCTGGTAATATGCTGTATTCTCAAAATGATTTCATACATTCTGCTCGCAAGTACAAAAAAGCTCGGCGGTATATAGAATACATGCTCGCTGCGACTGATTTGAAATGCGAATTTGACAAAGAAAAGTTTAATCATGTTTATCTTCTATGTTTACTGAATGGTGCGGCTGTGTATATAAAACTTGGTGACTTCAAAGAAGCAAATAATCTATGTAATGAGGTAATAAAATTTTTATAGAAACCATTTTGTTGCAAATACGTTGATTTCTTATCAATTATAACAATCACCACAGGCCTTAAAGCGAGATCCAAATAATTGTAAAGCATTTTACAGAAGAGGACAAGCACAAATCGGGTTAAAAAATTATGATAGTGGGTTAGAAGACCTTAAAAGAGCTCTAACTTTATTTCCTAATAATAAATCAATTTCGCAAGAATATGAAAAAGCTTTACTTATACAGAGAAAATATCGTGAATATGAAAAAGAAATTTTTATGAAAATGTTCCAATAAATAATATATTATGCTTGTTGAAAAATGTATTTTAAAAATGAAGTTTTTCAATAAATTATGCACATATCAAAGTTTTTTTATTTACACTTATACCAAAACTGCACATTTGTAATAAATATACAGCCATTATTAATAATTTAACTTTTTGACAGATATTTTAAAATTGTGGTTCTATTGATCAGTAATGAATTTTAAATCAGTCTAACACAATGACTTACTGGTGAGTGTGATCAGTACAAATTACATTATAACTATTAACAATCCACTAATTACTTATTAATCAATGCCACGCTTGCCGTAAGGCCCTACGGTTTGCCAAATGTTTGCTCGTGAAAACAGTGACTGTCAATACACTCAATACTATCATTATCATCCAGTAATCGAAATCTTCTTTAAGAAGATCAAATGTTTGTGATGGGGCAACTCTTGTATAAAACATATCTATAAGATAAAAAATATTGTTTAGTTTATTGAGAAAGATTTCTAATGCTGAAGCCCCTACAAATATTCTATCTAAAGAAATTATTAAAATTACAGTAGTACCCCAACGACATCTAAGTGTTTTGAGATACAAATCGCCAAAAAAGCAATTCGTTGCTTTGACATACAGACTTAAAGCGGGTTAGCTTTCTAGAAAAAAATTCGTAAGTTGAAACAACGATTTTCCTACCATAGAAATATTTGACTGTTTTATTATTATAAGTATTATTAAAAATTTATTAGTAAATAAAATGTGTTAATATTACAGCCTGCAACAGGTTGTTTCAAGAAGTAGAGTTGCACGAAAACGATACATAGAAGCAGCAAGAGCCCGAGCATAATTTGTTGTTGTTTTAGTATTAACTACTCTGCTCATTCAAAGATTGCAATTCGTGCAATGGATAAAGTACGCCAATACTGTCAGGCAATGAATTTTAGAAATATTTCTCATCATTTCAATTATATATTACTATTAATTTTGTAGTAACGATTTACCGACGCGAACATATCGAGGATTATTTTGAAGTTTAAAAACTACAATAAAATTGATTTTTTATATTCAAAAAACTTATCAAAAACTATTAGTACTACAGCGAATTAATCGCACTTCTAAGTATTTATATGGAAAAAATTGCATCGAGATACAAGCAATTTGACATACGAGCGTGGTTATGGAACGAATTAAACTCATCAGAGTACCACTGTATTTTCTCATGAATTATAAACATCTACAGAAAATATCTTACCTAAACCATGAACCAAAACTAAACAGGTAGACTCTAACCCGCTGGGTACAGCTACAATGTCTTTAATTTTTTCTATTGATTTGTTGTAATTAACAATGCCTTCACTTGGCATTGGTAATTCAGGCATATATGGCAGAACACCTTCATCTCTAGCTTCACCTGTGATTGTGACAGGACGTCGAGGATCCAAAAATATCCAAGGCATTTCTAAAATGCTACCGAAGCTGGTACCAACTGTAATATTTACAGAATTTATTATATTTAAATAATGCAAAAAGTCAAAACATTTTCTATTTCAATATTATTTACTTAATACGTGTTTAGCAGTGATTCCTCTTATAGTGATTGTTTCTCGCAGTGCTTCAACTTGCCCTGGAAATATGTAAGTCTGTTTCTCGACCATTGGCTGTGCTGATTTATAAGAACTCCATATCGTTGTATTGGGTTGGGATTTTCCCTCATACATTTCCATAGTACCTGATAAAAATATAAATAATTAAAAAAATATAGAAATGTTAATATCAATATTATAGATAATGTTAACCATTATCAATATATCCATATAATAAAATTTTAGGATGCTAACCAATTTCTGTTCGTCTACTTTTCTCATTGAAATACGAATACACTAGCCAATTTTCAGAATGTACTATATGAATAGGCTCCTTAGCACGAATGTGAGATGTGGATGATATGATTTTACCAGAAACTACATCTAATAGTATAACATTCATGACACCTGTAAAAAATTAAAACAAAATTATTAGAACATTATTGGATTTTTAAACTTTGAAGGTTGTAGATAATTAGAGCTTGATTACATTTGAAGGGGTACTCTGGTCTAGAGACATGAATTTAATGCAATTTAGTTATTAATTGATGTTTTAAAAAAAGTCAAAGTTTTAATTCTCAAAAGTGATTTGTGGGGTGTCTCAAAAAAATTGCCTTTTTTTAAATTCTAGATCAGAATATCCCTTTAATGCAATTATAATATGAATTATGACTTTCAAAATTTAAACTACTATGTTATTTTTATAGATTTAGATAAATTTACTTTTATGCATAGGATCTGGTCCTTGTGTCACAACAGCCACCAAATTAGGATTGAGATACTTATAAAGTACTGAACGATCTGCTAAAACTCTTCCTTGAGAGTTAACACGCTCAATCAAATTTTTTGAAGCAATATGTGACACAATATGATCTGGCATTGTTAGTTGTAGAGACCATACAGGCAAAGCAACTAAAAGGTCCTAAAAAGTAAAAGAGCATAAAGTTTTATCATAACAGAATATTGACAACTTTGCAAAGCATACAAAAATCATAATTTAAGTAAATACCTTCTGGATTTCCATAATAAATCCATTAGCAACACCAGATTGTTTACTAATTGTATACATGTATGTGCCAACAGCTAATTTTTTATCCTTCTCAGGATGTACATGAGGCAAATTATTATCATCTAATATAAGCAATGGTTTGAGAAAATCTTCATTTTCAGCAAGTAATGTATATTGCCTAATTACATAAGGCAGATTTATGAATCCATTTCCAATATCTTGCCCATTAATAGGATTGAATTGAAAAATAAATCCATTTCTGTTAATCTAAAAACAAAGTAAAAATAATCATAACCTGAGTGGAATCTTAGCAGACAACAAACAAGTTGTCTGCATAGATTACAGTCTATTATGAATACTTGATTATTTCCTATAATGGCACACTGTGCTTCATGAGGAGAATATTTAGTTGTTCTTTGTTCAATTAATTCTATATGAAAATCGTCCCGTTTTTTGGCTAACGCTGGAATATATCGTGACCAATGAATTGTAGCATCAATATTGTCTATACCAAATACCTGAAACAAATAATTCGCAATACATTAAATAAAAAAAATTGGTAGTATTATAATATAATTTGAAACACACCTTGCCCACACTTGTAACAATAATAATAATTTTATGTAAACCAAAGGAATCTCGTACTAAGTTTTCTCTCTGTAATTTTGAAGAATCTGCACCAAATAAAGATATAAGAAAATGTTTAAAATGGACAACCTGAAGTAACAGTCTTTTTCTAAACATTTCCAATGAATCGCCTGTAAAAATAAAATCATTATAAACGTTTATCAGAAAATTTATAAAATATAATAAAAATATTGATTACATACTAGCTTTTTGAACAGCATCCTGCAAGCTATCTTCAGTTAACGGAAGATCCATCATTCTAACAGCTGTCACATCTGATAATGATTCTTCACGATACCAAGAAATTTTTTCTATAAAATAACAATATATATTTATGATCACATCATAATTGAACATGAACTTGTGTTCTTTCATTAATACTTTAATAAATATTACCAGGTGTTTTAAGAAACACAACATTGTCATCTGTATGATATAAAGTACTACACAAAAATTTCTGGCCCTTTTGCAAACAAAAAACATCAGCAATTTTGGGAGTTGAAAAGTTTTGTGGATATGGAATTGATTGACCAATAGTCACTTGCTCACTTTCAGTGTTTCCAACTAAATGCAGTATCTTAAAATTAATTATGAGGTTAATGGCTAATAATTATTAACAAAATAAGTATGTACTTAGAATAACCTTTGATTTATCAATGAATGACTTCAAAATGATTTCTTCACCATTAATGATTAATGACACCATAGAATCACCGATTTGATATGTAATTGGTGTTTGTACAAAAGCATTATTTCGGATCTTGTATAGTTTATTATTAACAATAATACTTGGTAAATTACCCTGAAACAAAATGAGAGTTGAGTTAACTATAAAATTATATTTTAGTTTTATAATAATAAAATTTTCAAAAATTTGACTTAAATAATCAGACCTTTGTAGATTCAATTTTGTCCTCATTTTGAGATCCAATTTCAATTTGAAATGTTTGTGCGTCTCTACTCAGAAGATCCACTCCTATCATAACACCACCATTTGCACACACAAAATAACTATCAGACAGCACACATCTAGAATAAAATATTTCATACTTCTGTATTATAATTACAGGATAAATTCTTCATTTTGCAACACCATTTTTACCTATCATTAACCCAATTTGCTGGGATCTTCTGTGACTTCTGTTTATTACTACCAGAGCGTAAGTCATACTGTGTTAGTTCTATGTGTGAATTTATAACTGACAATACATGATAGAGATCATTATTCTTAACAAACCAAAATTGTTTAAATGCATTCTTGTCTATGTTTGCTAGTTGCATAGACCATTCCCATATTGCCGAACCTAATAACAAATAATTATAAAACTGATCAAATAATAATTATAAAGTATTTTAATTTTGTTTGACACCGCAAAATAATATTGCATAATTATTATTTATGTGGGTCGTATTAGTTAGTCTTAAATTTATATTTCCACTTGCATCAGACAAAACTGTAGTTGTAAAATATAATAAATAAATTATAATAAATACATCATATTATTTATGCAGTTTTCATAGATTTAAAATACAAATTATAATTGATTGTAATTTACATACCCGTTCTTACATCCCAACCTCTTATAGTAAATGGTGTTTCACCAGTAATTGTTACTATTTCCTTATCTACATGTAAAAATGAAATATTTCCCCTAGGACCATCCTCAAACACATTTCTCCAGCTTATACCACCTAAAATATAAACAAGAATGCTTGTACTATAATACTTATATTAAGGATTGAAAGAAAAAAAATTATATGAACTGAATTTTAGATAAGACGTTCAATACATTACTAACAACCGTATTATGATTCTCACCTGACTTATAATGTAAAGCAGCTAATACATTTTCCTCTGTAGCTACAATAACTTTACGTGAATTAGTAACACTTTCTATAGCACTAAATTTGAGTTTACCCGTAAAACTTTGCTTCCTATATTAAAAACAGATTTTTTTAATTAATGAAATTTTGAAGAAACAAAAATGGTCAATTTGTACTAACCAATCAAATTTTCCAACTTGATCTTCAAATAAACAATTCGACACGCGAATTAACACACATAATAAAAATAATAAATAAATAGATTTAAAATTGATAAATAAATTACTTATATCCATATTTCGTCTACATTTGCACATTTTATACAGCATAACCTATTACAAGCAACACATTTTCAATTCCTACAGATGGCAATCAATGACAGATGAAACAATGATGACCAGTGAATACCTAAAAAACATAGATATGAAAATATGAACACTTATTTAGAGCAGTGGCTTTAAAAACAAATTATGAACAAGTGACAGAACCATAGATAAAAAAGCACAGAACAAAGATGGGTCGATAAACATCCGCGAAGTTAGTCACTCAAGAAGCTATTTTTTTCGACAGTTGGTTAATTTAGTTTTGACAGATTTTTGACAGTAGCGATTTTTAGTGAATCTGAATTTGTGCACTTTCAACAATAGTTATTAATTTCAAAATTTAATTAATATTTAAAATTTTATTAGTGAAAAATGTCGTAAGTACTAATTCAACTATTTTTATTTTATTGTAATTTTATATAATAAACTAACAATTTTATTTCACATATGTGCCGCGTGTCATTTTGAGCAAATGTGATCAATATGTTTCATTTCTAATGGTGCAACAAAATAATTTTCTTGTATTTCATTTCAGAGCGAAAGTTACTTTTAAAATCACTCTTACTTCAGATCCCAAACTTCCATTCAAAGTGTAAGTGAAAATTTAACTTATGGACAAATAAAAACGATATTTGAAAATTTTAATATCATTTAAGCAAAAATTTGTTTTAATATTTTTAGTTTAAGTGTTCCTGATGCCACTCCATTCACAGCAGTATTAAAATTTGCAGCAGAAGAATTCAAAGTAGAACCTACAACATCTGCTATAATTACGGATGATGGGATTGGTATAAATCCTTCGCAAACTGCGGGTAAGATTGCATATGTAAATATAAACTATCTATTGAAAAAAAATTATATGGAATTGCTTTACAGGAAATGTATTTTTAAAACATGGTGCAGAGTTACGATTAATTCCTAGAGATAGAGTAGGCAGTTTATATTATTAGTTCAATATTAAATTTGTATATTCAAGAATAAAATATTTTTATACTATCTTGTTTATTGACTCTAAATAATAAATATGGATATAATATTAGTCACTTAGAATTGGAAGCATGGCTCGAAGAAAGCCTTTTTCAAACTCTGCTTCAGAAAATCTATCTACAGATGATCTGCGAAATAAAACATGTTTCTTATAAATTATTGATATCTTGTGCAATAATATCAAACATACCTTGCTGCTGATCGTATCAGCTCTTTTTCATCGTCACTTAAAGATAAAATATATCTTATACACTGAGCATACTCAATTGCACTGCTGGCTAAAAATCCGGTTTGACTTCCCACAGACGTCTCAATTATATCTGTTAAAGGCCCACCTGACTTATTTGCAATCATTATAAGACCCGCAGCCATACTTTCCACAATTCCTATATAATAATTTTCCTTATAAATTCTGCCATCACAACGAATAGTAAAAAATGTCTCACCGATTCCAAAATGTTCATTCCACATGCAATGTAATCCTATAGTAGCAGTTTTATAACTTTCCAAGAGTTCCTCATGAGAAACATTAACTAAAAATTCTACTGAATTTTCTAATGCCAAATGGCAGCTTAAGTCAATCATATTTTGGACATACTCTTTGTCAACATCATTTCGACAAGAACCTATAATTTTCAATTTTACCTAAAAAATTATAAGATTGATCACAACTTTTTCAGTTTTTTTTTTTTTTTTAAATCATTGCAAACCTTTTCCCACAAAGATTCATTATTTTGTAACAAGGTACGCAGTTCATACAAGCACTGCAGCTGTAGAGGATGATCTTTTTCAGGACGAAATTGTCCGATTGATAAAATAACTATTTCATCAACACTTGGAGATAACTTTAGTTCTTTTAAATGCTTAACATTACATGGAGGATAAACTCTGTGCGTTTTAAATGACACATTCCATATAGAGTTTATATGATCTTCAGTCCAAGTTGAATTTACCATTATGGTATCAGAACATCTGCCCATCCATTTATAAAGCTAAATAAAAAAATAATATTTTTTTAATACAACAAATGAATAAAGATGATAGAATGAACGCAATATACCCAAGCAAACCATCTGTAGTACAGAATCTTAATAAATGACAACATAGGATTTTTTGCCACTATCTCTTGATTATTTTGAGTTACAAGTCGACTCTTAACTCTTTTTAACATATCTGTGGAAATAACGGGGTAATGTACATAAGAAGCTGTTTTACAACTTCCAATATATTTAAAAACAGGCAGAGTAAACGCATAACCCATGGTATCAAGGAATATGTCTGAAATAAATAAAGCGCCATTAGAAGTTAGATAAAAAAAACAATCAATATATGTTGTGATAATATATCAAATTAAACCTGGTTGTAATTTAAGAAGAGCTTCTAAGCCAAGAAACATTGATCCTATACTTTGCAATATCAATGTGAAATAAGGATAATTTTTGTGCTCTACTAGGCCTCTAGTCTTCAAATATATAAAATTAATATGAGATTCATCAAATGAGATATCAAAGCATATTTTAACTTTTTGTAATATTTCTGTTGAACTGCATTGATCTCCTGTGTAGATATGTATTTTTATATGATCAAATCTGAAATTTTGCAACAGCATTACAAGAAATAATTATAAGGCAATAATTCAATGTGATGAAAGCATACTTGGACAATAATGTTTTAACAGCACACCATAAAACACGTTCGCCGCCTCCTCCTGCACTGCAATAGGGATGAAATATTCCAATAATTTTCTTATCAGAATCCTTTCTTTTCATTTTCTTAAACCATATATACAGTTTAAGTGCTCCTAGTATTGATATGATAGAAATTACTGAAATTATTAGCAGTAAAGCTATCACTGCTAGACAGCACAAATAGCATTCTATTGTGATCATTTTGACTGTAAAATATGAGATTTGACTCAAAACAAGTCCATGAAATTTTCAGGCACTAATTAGTTGATTGAAATTATTAGTGTTTATGGAAAAACGTATTAAGCCGCCATTTGTTAGTTATAATAATATCTTTAAAAGCCACATTGCCTATGTATGCATGTAGATAAATCAATCATCAATTTTAATTTTAAAACAGATTTTATCTGATAGCATTTTAAGGTTTACGTGTACATGACGTACAGTACATTGCAACTGTCAAATTAGACAAAACAAACATGGCTGACATCTAGAGATATCACAGTAAACCAAGATGAAACATTGAACAATCGCGCCAATTACAAAAATTTAATTTTATGAAAGTCCAGAAGAAATAACAAACATGATTTTTACGAATATTTTTTTATTGAATTTGAAGTTTTATTACACTTTTCGTGAAGAAGACAACCAAACATCAAAATTTACATATGTATTTTATTTATTAACATCAGTCTTTATGAACAATACAATATAAAAATTTTGAGTAATAATTTAAACCGGGCATTAATACTGGAATGTTACCCCTGGTATACACAAAACTAAGAAAAGTTTGAAAAATATCTATTAATTCTCTTTTTTATACTATATTAACTCACTGAAATAGTACAAAATATAGTACATTTCTCTATCATGAATATTAACAAAAACTATGTTGTCTTGAAGGGATTCATGTTGAAAAAATTACATCATACATTCAAAGATAGGTTTTATAAATTGCAATCTTCAATCTTAAGTAATAATTTATTAATATAATGACACCAATCTTAGTATATCTATATCAAAACGTTATGTAAAATAATTTGCAGCACTACTACTCAAAATCTTCTTGCACAAATATATAATGGTAAAAATATAGTTGGCAACAATACATATTGCAATATAATAAAATATGATTTATACAAGAAATAAATAATTAACAAAATATTCACTAAAACGGAATATGCATATTTAGAAAATAATCAGAAATCATTTTCTATCATTGGGAAAATCTTCAAATTCACTTTCAGGAGTATTATAAAAGTGTTATAATTAACATTAGCAAAAACATTCACATACATTTTTTCATGTAGGCTAATATAGACCAAAATATTTTTCTTATTAGATGTAGATTTCATAATTTACATTGAAACCTTAGTACGACTTTTAAACATAATAATAAGTATTAAAATGTAAAAAAAAAAACAAAAAAAAATTGAATAATTGGATCTACATTTTGTAAACAACACAAGCCTAATGTTTTTCATGTTCGCAAAGTTTTCAAAAATAATTTTTAAGGTACTATATAATTAAATTGGTTTAATGAAGGTACATAATTATTTTATATTTCTTAAAGTTGGATTAGTCTTTTTTTTCATATAATTTGTGTTCTCACCAAAGATGAACATAAGTCCGAGACTGCCATCAAAATTGTCATGTATTATTTCAAATGAAAATTGTTTTGATAAATGTAAAAGCAGCAAATATTTATTGTCTCATCTCACTAATCAAAAATATAATAAAAAAAATAACTTTGCTCAGATTATGTTTTTCTGGTTATTATAGTCAAATGGATAAAAAATATAATAAGAAGTGTATTTCGATGAAAAAGCATATGTTTTTAATCCACTATATAGCTTCCATACTTATTCACTTCGAATATTATTTTTATGAAATAAAAAATTGTCTGTATTTAAATACATAACATATGCTTTCTCATTAAATATTGTTAACAATAAATTTCAATAGCAAACCCAGTTTGCATTTCAAATTCGCAAATAACATTTATATAAAAAAAATGTTCAGGCATACTTACTATCTTTTATGATCTAAAAAATGCCAAATTATGCATCCAACTTTATTTATACTATTGCTGAAGAACGCCAATTAATCAACCCCTACGTTGTGTCTGATGCCATAATTTGAGTCTGTGCCCAATTTCAGCAAATCCTGGCCTCCTTACTGCTTGCTCATGCCAACATTCAACCATTAAGCTATAAGCTAAAGTTGGACAATTGTCTGGACAAGGTAATAATTGCCTCGCCCTAACCATGTTGATTACTTCTTGATTACTATATCCATAATAGGGCTAAAAAAAATTTATCATATAAATTTTGCCAAATATAATTTTGTTACAATAATAAAAACAATATAAAACTAACTTGTAAGCCATAGCTGTAAATTTCCCATAACACAACACCATATGACCATACATCACTCTCTGTTGTAAATTTGCCATACAAAATTGATTCAGGTGGCATCCATCGGACAGGCAATAACGATTTGGACTGTACTCTAAAGTATAGAATATATAAAATGCATTAGAGAATCAAATAATAGTTAATCATTTCATTTATTTTACCTATAATAATCTGAACTATAGATATCTCGTGACAAACCAAAATCTGAAATTTTTACAGATAAGTTATCACCCACTAAACAGTTTCGAGCTGCCAAATCCCTGAATCATAAAAGGTTAATTTTTAATACAGAAATTGTATGAAAAAATCACATATTTTAGCATAAAAATCTAAAATTACCTGTGTACATAATGATGTCCTGCAAGATATTCCATTCCATTTGCAATTTGCATTGCAATCTGTATAAACTGCACAGAAGATAAACTTTTGCCTTCGTTTGGTGAGTTAGCTATCAAAAACTCATGCAAATCGCCTTGAGTCATATATTCAAATAACATACATAAAGGTTCTTGTTTTAATACCACTCCTAAAATACACACAATATTGTCATGACGTAAGTCTGTTATGAGATCAATTTCTCTTCGAAAATCTGTTTGCGTCTTAACAGAAGCGTTCTCTTTTAAAGCCTTTACTGCCACAAATAATTTTGTGCCATCATGCTTGGATAATTCTCCCTTGTATACTTTGCCAAATGCTCCTTCCCCTAATTCTTCAATAAACTTGACATCTTGCAAATTATATTGTGATACTCGATTCACTGTGCTTCGTCCTATTATATTAATACCAAATAATTAGTTCATTTTTCAAAATTATATTGTCTATGTATAACACTGTATTTGAGCATTTAGTGCTTTTTCAAATCTCTTAAAATCCAAGGATTAATTACCTGGTGGCGTATTAACAGCAGTCAATAAAGAGCTCATTTCAATAGGTGAGTTTAACCGTGAATTTCCATAAATGTTCTTATCAACATTAGGCAAATTTATCTGAAAATAAAACTAAATAAATCAATTGAAACAAAATAATAATTATTTTACACTGGACATTTTAATTACATTTTGTATATTATCAGTATTACTGTTTCTTTTGTATTTTTTGCACCAATAACAAAACAGAGTAAGCAATAATAGTGCAGTCAAGGAGATCATAACGGCAGCAATATAGAACCATAGTCTAGGTGCACATTGTGGCACATTGCAAACCTCTTTTTCCATTTTGATATTATAACACCAAGGTAAACTACTAGAACCACCCGGATTTCTGTAACAAATAATTATAATGAATATGACTTTTCATGCATAGTATTAAAGTTATAGATTTAATTCAATAAATATAGTTTTAAGCAAATGATTCCAGTTATACAAGAAAGTACCTGCAATAATTATGAGCACCTGCTAATTCTGGAAAATTGGGTAACTCGTGAGGAAATCTTCCTGCAGTAACATTACCCCATTTCATACACATTTTTCCACTAACGGTTGTCTGTGCAGTACCCCGATATTTTTCTCCATTTTCCCAATAACACCAATCATCAGGTATAACATCTAAAAATTATATTTTTTAAATTATTATAATATTATTTTTAGTAATTACAAACAGTAACTACAAACCAGGTTTAATTCCTAATTCCAAGCAGTCATTAGAATCATTCGGAAGATTTACACATTCTTCAAGAGTTAATTGTTGACCTAGAAATTTTCAAATTCTTATTAACTATTTAAACATTTTCCTTATATGAGAACATATAGACATATAAAATATTTGTACATTAAGTTTATACAACAAAGCACATAAACTAATAAAAAAATGAGTTTATACATTACTCAAAAAAACAATAAAATTTTAAAATTATATGGTCTCAAAAAGTTGTATTAAAAGTACTAATAACTAAATTAACCTATATGAGGATGTCTCTTTGCTATAGAATACTCTTTTTGGCACAGCTCATTTTCCAGTATTTCACAATCCTTTTTGCAAATTCTACGCAAAGGTACTGTACTGCGAGATGGAACATATCCTGAAACAAGTGATACATCATTACCCCACATTATATCATATTTCTTATTTTCATAAATATATTTTATTGGAAATATACCTTTTGATTTTCCATTAAAATTGTCACTAGAATTTTGATTAACATATTTATTATTTCCCCAAGATTTACTTTTTTCATTAAAGTACATTGCATTTGTAATATCCGGGGTTCTGCATATAGGAAATGTGCTATAACATAGACTTGGCAGTGCATAAACTTCACAGTTTGAACTGAGATCTCTAAAACATTTAAAAAAATTAAATGCAAAAGTTCAAAATTCTTTATTTTTAGAATGATGTGCAATGAAATGTCACTATGAATTTTTTCATTGTGTAAATAATTCTCCATACCTTGAATAAGAAATTACTCTAAATGCTTCAGTCAATTTTCTCTCAATATCTTCTTGGGTTAAATGGGGTGGTACAAAAACGGATTGATCCTGCAAAAATTTGGCACATTGCTGACCTTTATATACTTGACAATACCCTCATACTCTTGATCTGATAAATCATAAGATTTTTTTCTAGATTGGGCGCTAACTGTATCCAAAGAATTTCTTTCGAATTGATGGGAAGATTTAATATCTTCCCAACTTGGTTGTTCAAAGCTAAAATTATCACATTTATTAAAATTATTGCAATTAGCACATTTTAAAAAACTAATTACAGATAATAATTCTGATAAATTAAATTTACTTTACATACTTTATTCGTTAATAAAGGTAAAAAGAAAAAATTTCAAGTACCAAATTAAAAAATGAACAACATACATTTGTTGTTCATGTAAAACCGCAAAAATAAGATATATGTGTATACTTTATTATATTTGTATAGTTAGCTGACTATTAGCTAATTATAGTCTTCATAATAACACAATATTATTGAATTTCATATATTTACGCACTAATGAATCAATATAAAATATCCATTCTCTTTAAATACGAATCAAATATGACACATTCATCTGTTTTATACAAAATCATGCCATGCTGATTAAGTCATGATTAACGCATGGCACACTGACTATTATAATATTAACTAATATTATAATATATCAAAATATAATACATTCAACATTAATAAAATGACATACAATTACTTTCTATATTTTATTGACGCAAAAACAATAAGAGTACAGTTTTTTGTTTTATTTTTTCATAAATTTTGTTGAAAGTTATTCATAAATAACACCTACATTTATAAAACAAATTTCATACATTAATCAAACTGTAATGTAAATCGCACAAATTAGTAGAAAGATTAGGGTAGAAAAAAAATAAATTGCTATGTATATAAATTTAATTAAAACTGCATACATGTTATGAGAAATAGTTTTAAAAAATTATAGAGCCATGTTTCAATATATGAACTACCTTGCATTATTGAAAAAAAAACTAGTAATTTACTAACATAATTGATAATTTATTATAAAAATAATAAATCTGTTCAGTTAGCTAAAATATTTGACATTTATACACAGAACATTTTATACAAAATATCTACGTAATAAAAAATATTCTACATATACGAAATATCAAATGTCACATGCATACAATATTTAACGATACATTTAAGAAATATGCAATAATAAAATAAATTTCATAAAACAAAAATGTTCTATTTGGTATAAGTTATGATTGCTATGACAACCATTTATTAAGCGGCTAAGACAAATTATAAATTGCAACTAATGATCAATCGTGCAAACACTAAAATACAGACGAAACTATCGAAAATGATTACCCATGTTCATTAAAAGTGACATTTAAATCCGCATTGTAACATTGATGTATCATAAAACTAAAGTGTAATAGGAATTTTAGCATAATGGTGAATCTTATTTAGAATAAATGTAATTATGCTACGTCTTGTCAGTAGGATAATTTAAACACTGCCATTTATATTAGTTTAAATGTCAAACAAAAATTAATGCACTTAGTATAAACACGCTTACACAAAAACATTTCTAATCGCGAACGAAACAATGAGCGGGACAGAGGCAGAAGAGATATAAAGAGATACAAGAACCAAAGTTCATAGAGAGAATATGTGTAGAAAAGCTTGTATACAATTTTGGGCGACACTAGCGCTTCATCTCGCAAATAAAAACTTTTAAGGTACCCATCCACTAGGCAATTTATGATCGAAGCAATCGAAAAACTGAAAAACTGAGCAAAAGGCAGATACAAAATAGAGATGAAACATGATGCCATGAGTAATATTCCCGATTTCGCAAGACATAAAGCATTATAAAAAAAATTAGCAGTACAAAAGAATTGTTAGCACCCGGGTTGAAGATTTTTATGAAGATCCGTAGTAAAATAATAAACATTTATAGTTCGGGCAATCGAAATGATTTTCGCATTTCTGGCGGAGATCGGAGCAACCAAATTTTACCTAAATATATTGCCAGTTTTATGAGACCATAGTTATATAATGACCCAAAACGATACCTTTTTTATAAAATACAAAAATATATTTTTAAAAATTGCTTTAGGCAAAATATGTTTCCATATTTATTTGTAAATTATGTGTAGAATTTATTTATATTTAAATTTTTAAATATGAATATAGAGTAAAATGTTTGAAATGAGAAGAACTCAAATGTAAAATATAAATTAACAATATATTTTGTGCATCTTTCAATCATTAAAATCTAAATATTTCTTTCCGTTCATTATTGTTAGTTTATACATTATCAAATAGTACGCTAACTTTCTTGGCAAAACATTATTATTAGCTAAATAGAGTAGGTTGCCTGGTTGCCTAGTGGATGGGTACCATTAGAAGCATGTAAACATGTTTATTTATCTATGATGGTACCATATGACAGGACTCGCAAAAGACAAAAGCAAAATATTTTACGTCATAGTCAGTGGTACCAACCTTATACACATTAATCGCATTCACCAATGTCAAAGGAAGTGAAAACATAAATCCTAGAATGAAAAACCAAATTACATAGATTTTTTTAAACATCTTTCACAAAATTTTTGTTGATTTCTCTTAATTTGTAACCAAATCTTTCGTCCAACAATAGCATGCCCAAAAATGACGCATTTGTTATTGAAAAAATCAGTCACAGATTTTAATAAGTTAATCTTAGACAAACTGTTCGTGAGTGCGGTGTAGTAATATTAATGTTGTTAAAAAGGTAGCTTGCAATTCTTCGTTTATATAATTTCCCTTTTGTATCTCATCCAGTTCTGTGTTAAATTTATTCCCCTAAGTGTCATTGTGTGTGTCTTGCGCAAGTGTTTTCACTTTCGTAATAATAATTAAACTTTATTTTATACGTGAATCGAAATGTTACATTACGGATAGTTTAAATACTGAGCAGAATCAAGTTTATTACGTTTTTTGGTAGATGACCAGCAGAATGACTAGGAATGACGATTTCGGACTCACAATTAGGAGGTTTCTGTTTCGCTCTCGGGGAAGCCGACAAGCTGTTGCATTGTATGATGCAGAAAAGGGGGAAACAAATTTCCATTTGGGAACACAAAATTCTGCAAATACAGATTCACAGATGAAATTAGATACACAGGTAACTTCTATTATCAGCTCTGGAATTGGCAGATGATAGTATGAACGATTGTGGACTAATAATCCAAAAGATTTTATATTTTGTAATGTAATTTTAGCATAATCTATAGAAGGTTATTAAAATATGATGAAGATTCCATTTAGATATCTTATTATTTAATAAACTGTTTATTCACATCTACTTATTATTATGTGTTTTAGTAATTTTACTCATTCTTCCATTATTAGGTTGGAAGTCCAAGCACAGATAATTCTAAAACTAATGCGCCCAATGTAGATAAAAACATGCCAGTGACTGCAAATAATACTACTGTACATAATTTAGATATGATTACGTGTTCGTTATGTTTAGGGGAATGGTCTAAAGAGTTATTTTGCCCTCTTATATCCTGTGAGCATCTTTCATGCCGGAATTGCTTAATACAATATTTAACCATTGAAATTACGGAATCTAGGATTAATATAGGTAAGAAGTTCAAAGTAATGAATATCATAATTATTAAATACATACTTTACAACCTTCGTTTTTTTTAGCTTGTCCTCAGTGCTCAGAAGCAATGCATCCTCGTGATATACATTCGTTATTAAGTGATTACCCTCAAGTATATGAAAAATATGAAGATTTCATGGTGCGTAGAGTTTTAGCATCTGATCCTGATACAAGATGGTGTCCAGCTCCAGATTGCAGGTGATTTCATATACAAAAAACATTAGCAATAACAAACAAATGCTGCCTTCTATTTAAATCTAAATCTATTACTAGTTCTTCACCTGTAATGTTCAAATGATTTATTTTCAAAAATAAAATCCTCAAAATAATTATACTGAATGCATAATATTAAAAAATAATTTTGCTAATTGAGTTACCTATTACAATGTTTTAATTTTCCAGTTATGCAGTCATTGCAGCCGGTTGTGCCAGTTGTCCATTGCTGAAATGTGAGCGTCCTAATTGTGGTTCTTTGTTTTGCTATCATTGCAAAGCTGAATGGCATCCTGATCAAACTTGTGATGCAGCAAGAATAACTAGAAATCCACTCCTCATTGGCTCTATTCCATCACATGATATTTATCATAGTTAGTTTTTTTTATTATTATTATATTCTATATAAATAATTATTACTTTATCTTTTTTTTTTTTACTTTTTACAGGAGATGATATAAAACCGTGCCCAAGATGTAAAGTATTAATAGTAAAAATGGATGATGGATCATGCAACCATATGATGTGTGCAGTTTGTGGGGCTGAATTTTGTTGGTTGTGCATGAAAGAAATAACAGATTTGCATTATTTGAGGTATTATATTGTGTTAAATTTTAAATTTTAAAATAGTGAAATATAACTATGTATGTGTAATATTTTAGCCCTTCCGGATGCACATTCTGGGGGAAAAAACCCTGGTCAAGAAAAAAGAAATTATTATGGCAGCTAGGAACCTTGGTTGGTGCTCCAATTGGTATAGGGCTAGTAGCAGGAATTGCAATACCAGCAATGATCATAGGTAACTTACATTTACAAATATTTAAAGAATAATGTTTGTTAGTTAAATACTAAATTTATGATTATTATAGGTATACCTGTTTGGGTGGGAAGGAAACTGCATGCAAGATATAGGCCCACAGGAAAACATAAAAGAATGGGTATTATTACTGGTGGTGTTCTTGCTTCGGTAAGTGCATATTATTTAGATGTATACATTTTTATTAAACAGGCACACATTATTAATGATAGAGATAGAAAATTAATTCATAAAGAATAGCACCCATAGTTTAATTATAAAGAATTTTAATACAAACAATTACATTAAAACATACATCAAAGTGGAATGTCATATATGAAACAACAATTTAATTTGTTAGATTATTTCAAGAATTAACTATATTAGACCTTTGCTGCATTTAACTTTTAAGTTAAATTTTATCCTTGTTATGAAGAGCATCTTTCATTTATTATTCCATCATTATACAAATCTATTAACACTTGTGTTAACCTTTTTTCTGCAACAGGATCTCCTAGTGCAATGTCAATACAGCCAATACATAACAATAATGCTAATAATTGAGATTTTTTATATTCTTCTTCAAAATCTTTGAATCCATAACTAAGTTCATTTTCTAAGTTAAGACCATAGTTTGCACATACTTCAGAGAGATTTTGATAATAAAAATTAACTAAGTGTTTGTGGTGTTCTCGTCGAACTTCTGTTTTCACTGATGATATTAACAAGAGTGCTAAATCATTTGATGGTCTGAAAGTTTTTTTTATTAATTTCGATCCTAATAGAATTAATTTAAAATATTGTATACCTGCTGTAAGTAACCATTTGCCAGTCCAGAATTTTGCATTTAAAACTGTTTTTACAATCTTTTTTAAATCTCAAATTGTTTCCCCAAAAATCTGTATGGGTTAATGTTGCCAATGGTTCCTCTGGCATTAGCATGTTTTCAATTAATGTTTGACTATATTCCCGAATATTTCTCAGAGCTTCTAATTCATTCTCCATACAAGGTGTATGCTCTAAAAAACTTATTATATGTGGCCAACCTCTTTCAACCGATACTTGATATGTTTCTGTCACTTTCTTTATATCAAAAGGCTAGAATATAGAATAAATGACTTATATATCCCCTTGTTCTGTAATTGATTAATATACCTAACTCACCAAATATTTAGTTTTGAGATCTACACCACATTTAATTTTATAAGTAAGGAACAATCCATGCATTTGTGCAATAGCTTTTATGGCACATTCAGTTTCTTGTAAATCTAAGCCATCAGAAAAATTAGCCCTCGTATATCCTTGAACTCGTAAGTTTTCTACAACAAGTAAGGATTCTGGGGCTTTTAGAATGGACCCATCATTTGCTAAGCTGCCTATAAGAATGGAATATTTTATCATAACAAAACTTACATTAAAAAAATCTTCATAATGTACCTGCAGTATATGATGTATATAAGCATTTAGGAATTGGCAATTCGATATCTTCTGAGGTTTTTAGTGTATTTTTGTAAAATTGTAGCACATCTGGCAAAACCTGTTTTACAATATTTCAAAAAAAATTACTTTAAAAAAACTTATTTTAATAGTAATTTAAGAATAGAATCATGTTAATGATTTAATTAATAGTATTAAAAATAAAAACCTCAGTATAAAAGCTGATTTCTCTCAGATCGAATCCAGCGTCCGTCACGTAGTATTTATCAAACGGATCAGGCGGTAAGAATTTAAGCACAAGATTCAAGTTTTGTTGATCATCATGCCCAGATGATAGTATTTTATACTGAACCTTAACCGCCCAATTTTGTGTTCGTTGGGTGACGGCTCTGGTAGTTCTTGCCAATTCTTCTGCTTTATTTGAATCAAAATTAAATAATTCGACATCAGTTTGGGGATGAAGTCGTTCTAGCACTGATTTTAACACTTCTTCTGTGACGGGATTAATTTCTAAAACTTGGTCGTCGCTTTCATCATCGCTAATGTCGTTACCGGACGACGGGTCCGATTCGCAGGCTATTTCGTCGGCGTCCATTTCTACTTTGACAGTGGCCTCTCAATCGCGTGCGGCTGAACGAAACGTCACGGGTGTTCCTTATCAACACGGAAATCGATCGGAAGCGAACGAGCTTCCCACACCCCTACGGATATCGGCTCGATGCGCATGCGCCAGGAGTTAGATGCTGCGGCTGATCGGCTGATCACTCTCTCCACTGGATGTGCAATTCTAATGCAATTTATCATTTTTTTATCAAACTTTAACCGTTGTTCGTAAAAACTATTTCTATTTCATAATATGTAAGAGACCAATGCATTTTAAATTCGTAATTATTATGCCAACAAACCCAGTTCAAGTCTTACTCAATGAGCATAATTCATTTCAACGGTTTTAATTAAATGTACTTTCCATATAAATTTTTGATTTTACGAGAACGAGTACATATTAAACACATGCTGACGCCATAAAACGCAACTTGAGTGATCTATCTTCTGGTTTTAGGATACTGCCAAACCACTAGTTTTCTTTACAGATATTTCAATATATTGTCACTTGTTGAAACCTTTCTTGTTACCTAACACATTTTTCACAATTATTCATTAAGCGAAGTTGCGCTGTATTCCATTTTATCATAATTCGAAAATTGAGATCACTTTACAACAATAAACAAATGATGTGTAAAAGACTATGGTAATAATTAGGCTTGCAATGAATAGTATATTCGGCAAAATGTCGAATCCAAACACCGAATACCGAATATTCGGCAACTATTCGGCAGGTTTTTGGCGTCTAATCTCGTTTGTATTAATGTGATTACTATCAGTAATTGTTATATTACTAACGCGCTACATATTCAAGTTTTGTGTCTAGACTTTGCAAACACTATTCGGCTACTCTTTATTATTTGGAATATTTGGCACAATTTATACTATTCGGCCGAATACCTAATACTTGAATACCACATGTGATGGGGAAATAAATGGTATAATTATGAAAAAAGCGATTCTTTACATATGTATTTCCAATTATTTCTTTCATAAACATTTAATATTTTCTCCTATAAACTCAATATTAGGAATGCTAATCATAACAAAATAAATAAAAAATGATCAAAAATATTGTTTGTATATTTTGCGATAAGAGCCAATAAGAGCATTTTTATTTGGAAATGCTTAAATTTAATATAATGAATGACTTTATTGTATTGATGCAACACATGCGTGTAACCATTGAATTATTCATATTAAATAATATAAACATGTAACAATAAAGTACCTTGTGGATATTCCGAAAAAAGTTCTTCACGTAATCATTTATAATGTCAAAAATCGATAAAGTTTAAATTATTATATATACAATAACGATTTTTTCTTATTACAGTATATCATATTATATAAACAAAATACAGATCCATCGTGAGCTCTTTATCGCATAAAAGATAAAAGATCAACGATGCTGTCGCTGAATGGCGGCGGCGCCTTTGATTTTAACTATTCGATATTCATTCGCCCCGAATATGCCGAATACCGAAAATAATTGTTTTTACACTTTAATTCGATCGGATTTTACAACGTCTAATTAGTTTTGCTTTAATTATTTTGATTTTAACTGCTATGATCTAAATATGACTAATTTTGTATGATTGCAGTATAGGTATAAACATGTGGTTTTAGTGCACTCATGTAGTATCTTATTATTTTTATTACTCAACATACGAATACATATCTTACGAATTTGTACTCTTTCAAGTCTAATATTTTAATACTTAAGTACAAACACAATTATTATAAAAATGTTTTTGAAATGCATATTCATATTGAAATAAATGCCGTTAGATAATAATCTCACCAATATTGGCTGGGCTGGCTGTAGCCATCGGGGTGCCAATCTTGTTGTTCTACGTATATGGCGTGGTTCCGGTGTCGCTATGCAGAGCAGGCGGATGCGGAGTCACTACTTCAGCCACTGGTGTGAAATTTGAATTTGATGAAGAAGACATTGTGTCCAGAAATCAAGGCTAGAACACAAATCACATTTTTTTTTTTAAAAAATGTCTCAATTCTAATTATCATATTAGTAATGCACTTTCTGAATGCCCATTATTAACAATAAATAAAAAAAAGTTTTATATGTTGTACCAATTTCATACCACTTTTTAATAAATTTTAATAAATCCGCATATTTTTATTTGTCTAAATATATCAATAAAAAATCATTACAATAGTAATCAATTAGATTTTTTCACATTAATCCTCAACTTCACATCATGTAAAAATTATTGAATTTTATGCAAAAACCATTATCAATCACTTTGGTATTAAATTTGTGAAAAAAATTAAATCGAGATTATCATTCACCTTTAATTGATCAGATACTGCTAGTGTGGACACAGCGTCGCGCATAGGTGGCACAAGTATCGGGGAAGTCAGTCTGAGCTTCAATGGTCCTACATGTTCAGACCAGATTACTATTCAAGGCTCCACAATGGCTCTTGCTGGTTCAATAGTCAGTCATAGGTGAGTTAATATCGGTTAACAAATATAAAAAATCTCACGTTACATAATATTATATAACTTCAAGCTTAATTATTTGTTTGCTATTTTCTTATTTAGATTAACTCATTATGAATGAGACTAAAATTAAAAATAAGTGTGAAAATTGTGACACATTGCATTCACTACTTTAACTTTGTAATATTTTGCTGCAAAATGTTTTTACTACTAAAGCCAAAAATTATTTTTACCAACACCAAACATAACACATTAATATTGATATAATAATAAGTCACATGCAGCATTATTGTAAGTGTATGAGCAGTAAACTATTTACATTAATTCAGGTTGGAAGTTCAAGCAGATTTAAGTTCTGAGACAGCGTCTGCAGTAACGTGCCTTAGTGAGAAATCAGGACAAGATGCGGCCTCAACTAAGGCTTTGGCCGGATCCATCCTTAGTTATCGCCATGTAAGTCATATTGAAATGTAAAATTTGTTGTAAGCATGTATCCTAAAATATAAAATTTGCATTATGACTAAAGATCAGTCCATACATGAGATATGTAGAAAACCAATATTATTGAAAATGACTATTAATATTAATAGAATTTTGAATATATCTTATCTCAGCACGGAAGTGAGAATTCTGAAGATTGTGGCTCAGAGCGAGTGCGATTTGATGATACAGTAAGCTATATACACGGAGATCCTCCAGACAAGACAAGCCTGTGTAGCATCATGTCACTAAGAGAGGAATCAGACTCACATATATCTGGCAGCAAAAGGTACACATTTTCTCGCCAGTCAGATGACAAGCCTGCCATCAAACCTATTTCAAAAGCTGCCATGCTCAGGAATATGTTCTTCCAAGCTAATATGACTGAAGATAAAAACAATCAACATTGAACTAATCCACTTATAAATAAACACATAAATGCATATATATATATATATATATATATATATATATTTAAATATATATATAAAATTCAAATATTGTAAAATTAATAAATATTAATCTGTTTTATATTTTATGTATCGATGTTCTATATAGAATAAATGCTATGAATTTGGTAAATATTACAATATTTTTCATTGCAATATTTTTGATTACAATATTTTTGATTAACTACTAATGTTATGTTAATATTGCTTATTTACCATCTATATCATTTGTAGAATTAAATGGGATTAATAATAAATAGAATAGTTGAAAAAGATTAGATTGAAAAGCTGAAAAAGAACCCAGAAAGAATATATAGAATAATAGAGATTTCAAAGCTCATATATTTCATTATCAAGATCACACCTAATGTAGACAAAGTCATAATACATGATCACATGCCTAGCAATTTAGTAACAGTATTTTTATCGGGAAAATTTGTAAATAATAAATTATAGTAGATGTATATATACACTACACTGTGAGTCATTAATATTCTATATATAAATTTAAATAATACATAAAATCATATTTTTTCTACTAAACAATGCAATGGATGTCTTATATGAATTTGGATACTCTTCATATTTAAAACAGTTTTGTCATAATTTAAGAAGTTTCCAAAAAAATAAGTTTTATATAAGGTATTTACATAATTCATCGAGATTAACACACACTCAACCATCCAATATATTAATTTATGTAATTTAATATATGATATTAAATAATAAAATACATTGAGGACAGAATACTCAGATGTAAGCAGATATTAGTACAATTGTTACATGAAATATTTTGATAATACCGTACAAAGAAAACTAGTAACATAGCATGAAAACTAGTAACGTACAATATCAAACAATATCACAAATACATCTGCTCAAAACAAATATATCCTTAATTTTCATAAATAATACCAAATACCTGTGTTATACTTGACAAGGCCATTGGCTCCCGAACCAAATTGTTTAAGAAATGAATTCAGTTCTAAAGTAACACTTTTTTTTAAAATATGCTGTTATATTAGTGAAATAATTTTTTTTTTTATAAGCCACACTAGATACGGGGATGAGGTCATGATAAGTAAAAGGTGTTCGGATCAAATCTTTATCACTTGTTCAACTAACTTTCATAATGGTTCACATACACCCACTTGCTAAAAAGATTCAATATAAATAACATTCTGAATCCGTGTCCTCCTCTTTCTTACCATATGTGTGTCTATAATTGTTATATAGCTAATTTTTTTTTGGTTGCCAAGAATCGCAGCACTACCTGCGATCCGCAACCTGATTCACTTTCAGCGTGTCGCCGCGTGATTTTAAATCCCTAGTTTTAGCACTGGCGGCATGCTTTGGTTTACGTTCTCCGGATTTCGTTGGGGGCTTATTGGGATGATTTGTGGCGGTCGTGGTATTATTGGCGGCTGCAGTGGTTGTATGAACATCTCTTTGCTGACTATTGGGGTGTGGATCAAGTATTTTATCCTGAGCTGGAGTACTTGCATTGTTCATTGACTCGCTGGAATCATTCTCATTCAAAGGTGTTGCCACTTCCATGTTCTCCGGCTCAGGTTCCACAATAGACAACGTGGCCAATGTCAAACTCTGCGCGAACAGAGATCGGTCTGCACGCAACTGCTCCATGTCTGCTACTTGGCCATCCGAAAGGGACGAATTCATAAACCTACCGACAAACAACAATCTTTGCTAGGTTTCGTGTAAGACAATGACAACATGAATAATTTAATTCAAGCAATACAAAAATATTAATTAAATGTTTAACAAGATATTCTTATAACTGATATATTCAATTTAAATTAGTATCTGCATTTATCAATCAGCCCTTCATTCAATTTATTGTGACTAGATTATATTATCTAAACCATAAGCTCCACAAACGTTTTTGTATCAAACTTTTTGGAGTTTGCCATAGAGCCCCGATTTAACCCGATGTAGATTTTTTTTTTTTATAAGTATCAACAGTACCAAATTTTAATAACATTTATAATAAAAAAATATGGCAAGTTTATATAGTTATTAATTGAATTTAAAATGACGATATAAAATGAGCGATGAGTAACTGTTTAACAATTGGTGACAATTTTGTAATTTTTAATCTTACATCATTTACTTCTAAGAATTTTGCAAAGAATAAACCTTTCATGTCAAATAGGATCTTTACAAGTTCAAACATATTGCAACCACAAATCAAATGCCTACATACTGCAACTTCTGCATTTTTATAAAATGTAATTTTTTTGTTTTTAGTTTTTAGTTCCATTCATGAATTGAATTGTAAATGACTAATTTTATTTAATTATAATTCAATTATAATAAGTAAATAGATTATAATCATGGTGTTGTGGTGCACTTTTGTGAATCCCATTGGCTATATATTTACCCTATTATAATAATGTATTATTAATACATTATTATATTATTATGAATATAATTTTTAATTCCATACCTGGATAATAGGAATTGCTGACTGTTACTATGAGATTGCCATGGGCTCGGGGGGTTATGCAACGTACTGGCGAGAAGTGAACTGGTTGGTAAAGCCCCAGATTTGCTATTATGGGCAGATTGGGAACTCTGAATTAAAGTCGGATTTGTTGCGGAACTCGCTCCTGCACCAGCTCCACTACCTGCTAACAACTGCGCCTGACGTCGAGGCAACCGTTCGAGTTGCTGCCTCGCCGCCTGTGAAAATGAAGGCTGAAATTAAGATTTATTCAAAAATTATAAGTACGTAATTTAAATTTAATTCATAGGAGAAGCCAATCTTCAATAACCAGTTGAAAAAATTAAAAGTAGCACAATGACACTTTTACTCCCTTCAATTGCAATTACAGCTGGTAATATTTTTTTTTTAGAGAAACTGAAAATATATTTGATATTTTTGCTGTCATTTTACAATTAATGGTTGTAACTTCAGAATATCAGAATGCAACTATTTTTCATAATCATAGTTGTAAAACAATTTACAAGTATTTTTTATATATTTCTATTACACTAATAGTTTTCAATATTTTAGCAAATATTCAATCTATACATATAAATAAAATTTTAGCGTATTAGTCTCAGAAACCTTAGTTAATACATGTTTCTGTGCCAAAATACCTTTAATTTACCTACATTTTTGTGAAACAAAACTTTCATTATTTTTCTATTTACAAAAAAATCATGATTATTGACAGGTTAGTCGTATCAATGTTAGTGCAAAATTCTATGCTGTGTACACATTTTTAAATGTAAAATACCAATTTCAATATCCACTGATGATAACATCAAATTGTATGTCAAAACATTTGGGAATAAAGATTATTTTATAAATATTTGTATACATGTAAATACTTGAAACTCCTAGATTATGACGTTTACACGTATAAGTGATAATCTAGAAATGTCAAGTAAGTAATGCTTTATGTAATTGTTGAATTTAAGTTTAAACTCAACATGCTGTGCGACACAAATATCCTTTACTCAGACAGTTTTTTGAAATTTACAAACCAATAAAAATGTGTGCAAGGATTTTGCAATTAGTTTCACACATTCTACACTTTTAAAAAAAACATTTCTCCAATATGTCTTCAACCAGTTTGCGCATAACACTTGTATTGTGCATTTACTATTTGTGATATTTTTAAGTTAGTATTTTGTAAAATATTGTTTAATTACAATATAGTGTTCATATTACATAGTGTAGTGCATGCATTACCATATCCTGATACCATGGATTATTAAATTTTCTGTTTTTAACACTAAGATTAACAAAATGTAAGTACTTTATAATTTTTTCAATTCAATTGTTGTAGCTTTTTATTAACTTCCCGTAGGGTAAGTTATTGTAATGGGCCGAAAATCGGAATTGAAAATTTTTACATTTCTCGACGTTTTGAAGGTTTCTTAACGTTTTGGCATATCTCAGAAAAAATGGATGTGTGTGTGTGTGTGTGTATGTATGTGTGGATACAAATTTCCAGTCACGTTTTAGGGCGCACGGATCAACCGATTTGAATGGTTCAAAAAACATCCGATTCCTATTGATAGGGAAAAGAGCTGATTAGTTTTTGGCAAAGGCAGGTCCAGCCGTTTCGGAGATACGGAGCAAAGAGTGCATAAAATAGAAATCGTATTTTTGAGAGAACGGAGTATCCGATTTGAATGATCTGAAAAACATTCAATTAGTAATGATTGGGAGAAGTGTTTATAGTTTTTGGCAAAGGCAGGCCCAGCCATTTTGAAGATACGGTGCTAATATGCAAAAAAATGGCAGTTTTGAGATAACTAAGCGTCCGATTTAAATGATTTCAAGAACTTTCTGCTTGCTTAACAAAATAATCGATTTTGGAAAAAAAAAATTTGTCCATTTTTTTTTTTTTTAGTTTTTTGTATATCGAAAATATTTATTTTTAATTCTGACATAGTCTAATATACTTTACAAATAATTTCAACTCTGCAATTCAGTTTATATAATATTTATAAATATTAGACAATGTTACAATATTTATAATAATCTATTTGAAAACATTCAGTAATCCTCGAACATTTCGTTACGGTACGGGAAGTTCCAGCAATTTGCCTTAAGGCACAATGCCACCCACCCCACTAGTTTATTTTAGTTTCCACTGAATGAAGGGTAGGATTATAGCCGAAACGTATGGATGTAAAATAAATCCTTGAAAGAAATTTACATTTTTTATAGATGTTATGCCCGAATATTTGACTTTATATATATTTCAAGTGACTTCTAGATTCTATTTTAGGTACTTTTTTTGAAACCACCCTCTTCATCACCTTCTAGAATTAAAACTTTGACTATTTTTTATTTATTTTTATATATTTTCAAAACAATAATTATTAACTTGTGAAATAATACAGTAAAAATATTGATAGCCTTATTTTTACAACCTTTTAAAAATCGCATAACATTCATGCCTCTAAACCGGAATACCCCCTTAAATAATACATAAATAAAAAATACCCCGTTATTAGAAATAATATACAAAAAAATACTCGATGAATAAGTAAAATCAAATCAAGAGTTAAAACTCACAGTGACCTGTTGGCGCTCCAGTTGTATCTGCATGTGGAGCTGTTGGAGCTGGGATGATGTTGTGTTGCTAGTGATGGCAGCTGGCGAAGGTGAAGAAGCGGCCACAGCCGACCGCCGGACGCCAGATAATTGTGATAATAATTCAGCTATAGGGTCAACGGATTCCCGACTACTAGGCGATAATGAAGAAAGACCTCCAGATGAGCTAATAATAATAAAATTATAAATATATTGTAATATAATATTCAACCCTCTGATTGAGAAATGTAAATGCATGAATAAAAACCATTTATATTGAACAAATATCTACTGAAAGAACTGTGAATAGAATAAGAAATGTTCAAAACATTATTCAGACATTATTTCTCCATATCTTTCAAAAGATTATTAACTTCCTGTAGGGTAAGTTATAGTAATCGCAAAAAAATCGAAAATGAAAATTTTTATATATATTTACGTTTCAGAGGTTTCTGAATATTTTGGCATACCTTAGAAAAAATGGATGTATGTGTGTGTGTGTGTGTGTGTGCGTAGTATGTATGTGTGTGCGGATACAAATTTTCGTCGACGATTTCGGGAACACGCATAAAGCAATTTGAATAATTTAAAAAACATTCGATCCGTATTGATAAGGAGACGTGCTGATCACTTTTTGGCGGAGGTAGGTGTAGCCGTTCCGAAGATATGGGGCAAAAAGTGCCAAAAACGGTACCTCAGTTTTTAATAGAACGGAGCGTCCGATTTTAATAATTCAAAAAACATTTTACTTGTATTGACAAGATGAAGATTTGATCAAATTTTTATAAGGGCAGGTTTAGCGGTTTCGGAGATCTAACGAAAAAAGTAAAAAAAAAATGCCATTTGGCGGTCAAAAATAATCATTAGACATATGCACATCAAATTATCAGATATTTTATAGAGATTTTAACAATAAGTATAAATTTTGTTTACATTCCTATGGGTTCCGTACCAATGTTTACCCGTTAGACAGCGACGCGGCGCTTACGCGCTTTATATTTTGTCTCTATGCAATTAAAGCAGTACGATTGCTTTGAAAAAAAGTTCAGATCTTCCAAGATATGTCAAAATAAAGAAAACATTTTTTTTCAAAAAAAAGATTTAAAAAAAAAAAAAATTAATTTTTTTTTTCAATTTTTTTTTTCAAAAAAAAGTAATTTTTTGTCAAATTTATAGTTTCTCAAAAATCTTATTTTTTCGAAGTAATTTGTTTTCAAAAATGTTAATCGTTTTTAAAAAAAATAATAATTTTTGGTACGGGAAGTTCCAGCAATTTGCCTTAAGGCACGATGCCCTAATTGCCTTAAGACAGAATTCCACTTACAGCTAGTTTAGTTACCTGAAGTGCATATTGGAACGTCTAGCTCTTGTGCTGCCAACCCCCCGCGAAGAGTGAGGAATACGACGCACGCCACCATGTCGAATGCCAGATGGCTCATCGTAAACATTACATTAAGAAAATTATTCATATAAAATTAACTATTATTCCAAACAGAAGTATTCATATTTATCATTAAGTACGTGATGAAATAGTAACTGTTATAGTTCGTTCATTTCAAACATAGTACACTATTATATGTATTATACATTTTTTAACAAAAAATTATTCTCTCAATTAATTATTAACCAAACAAATCGGTTATTATTTGGTTCTACAAAATTTTCATAAAGAAAGAAATTGTCATAACTAAAATTATATATATATATATATATATATATATATATATATACACAAATTATAACAAAATTATATATAATAAATATATATATATATATATATATATACAAATTATAACAAAATTATATACATATATATATATATATATATATATATATATAATATATATATACATATACAAATAGTTCAAAGAGTGCATAAAAACTATAAAGTATAATCAATACTAATTATTATTAAAAATTTAATAAAAATTAACAATTATTAAAAAGGATATCAAAAATGAAATAAGGTCTCTTGATCCCGTACGATGTTCCAGCGTCAGGTGCCCCACGAAATCGTCTGTGATGAGGTTTGGGTCACCGCCTGGTACTGCTGCACAAACAGGGCAGACAACTTCGAATGATATGTCAGTATGATCTGCCTGCACATGTTCTTGCAAAGTCACATCAGTCAGACCCATTTTATTACAATAGGGGCATGTATAAGATTGTGGTTGCTCATTTGTCAATGTTTCTCCACCATAATAAAGATCTGCAAAATATACAAAAGTAAAATAAATCAAAGCCTTTTATTAAAAATCTCAAGTGGGAAAAATGAAATACTAATGCTTAAGTGCTTGATAAACCAAAAAAGATTACTTGATTTATACTATCATAATAATAAATAAAACAAGTTAAGGTATTGCTTTACTACCAAGATTGACCTGAATGAACATTGTTTGTGCATTAATGTAAGTGCATTCAGAGCTCTAGTACCAATTACATAGGCTGAAGACAAACACACCTAACCTGGTGCATTAAGTTTTTTAAGCCCGTATAAAGAGGGAATATCAGAATCTGAACTATAGAATCGTGATGCAGTAATAATTTACAATATGGTAGCTTTTAAATATATTTTATACTAATTCTTATTACTCTACTTAAAAACAAAATTTATTTATTTTAAAAGTATTATGAGTGTAAAATAGTGAAACACTTTAGTTTTTTTTATTCATATTCATAATTATTATTTACATTTTTTAATTATGTATTTAGTATTTACCCAAAAATAACGTGAAATATAGGACGATTAACATATGTTCATAAAAACATTAAATTAATTTTATGATTGAACTTTATTGTATATAATTACATTGAGTTTAAAGCCAAATATTTATTGTGAACATGGCTTAGAATTTGCAAAAAAAAAGAAAAAAAATATACAGTAAAAATTTTCTAGTTTTTACTGAAGTATATAGAAGATAGCGGCCGGAATAAAATTTCCAAGTTATTCAAAGAAATGTTAGAAAATGTCCAAAATTCACACATTGCTAAATACTTGTCACCATTACCATAAAAAGTGTATATAACGATTTTTCCTTACTTTAAAATGTAATCTAACTTAAACTAAATTATACAAATAAAATGTTCGGAACAAACTATTTGTTATTATAGAAATATCCTAAGTTTACATATTGCTAATTATCAAAATCTTCAATAAGATCAAAAAAAGTACTTTTCCAACAAATAAATTATTTCTTGTAGATAAAGATAAAGTAATTAATAATAAGATGACACACTGATTCCCATTTTGTAAACAAGATGCTCAAGTAAGAATAATAAATATTTAATATGTACTTTAGTATGTTTAGTAATACTGGTTAGTATTACATGACATGTAATATGCAAGTGAGTACTTTTTTCAACAAAGTATTAATGGCATCATTGTATACATCTCGACTAGAATGTTAAAAACAACAAACAAAATTAACAAGTAAATCCTTGCATATGACGAACACTAAACAAATGAATAAATACTAAAATGTTATCCCGAGATAACGATACAATACCAAAGTCAGATCTTGTGAGAATGCACTGCATTGGGTGTTCTGTACTATGTCTAGTCGTGGTAGCTCCTTCATCATAGCAGGATGCACAGAGATCATAATCATAACATATTAGGCACTTATATCTATGACCTCGAAAATTGTTTTTCATACAGGAATCACAGCTGACACCTACAAATACAACATGTCAGAAAGTACTCTCAAAATCATTTATGCAATTTATTAATGCACAACATGGATGTCAAAATTCATTCATATGGAATGCACTTAATGAACATTATAAGTCTAGTAATTATTTATACTTTGACTATCACCCTATTACGTACCGTCATGGCGACTCATTTTCACTTTTCTACGAATAATTTATGATCACTATGGTTAATTTAGATTCTTATATCGAGTAGCCCAAAACATCCGTAATTTGACACCTAAATCATGAATTATTTTCACTTATCATTAGCAACAAAAATCTTTATTTAACCTAACCCAACTGAGCTAAATGACGTCACAGATTGTGCCAACATAATAGTGATGAAAACTACGGGGAATATCACAAGTCATTCGAGGCGCAACATTTGAATTTATATTTACAAACATTGATAATAATAAACAAGCTATATATAGCACGACGTTCGACATTCCGCGCATCGATCATTATATTCTGCACAAGAGCGACATATAATGTAATCTCAACCTGATTTATTTCTGAAAATTTTATTTTATAATTAAAAATGATTGAGTTATAGCCAAAATGTATTTTTTTCATTTTGATAAGCTGGCAGTTAGTCTACCTTGCATTAAAGATTCAGTATTTTTTCAAACATATAGGGAATAATAGATGAATAGATGATATTCAATTCATTTTATAAATTGATGAATATATATATATATATATATATATATATATATATATATATATGTATTTATGTGTTGAATATTAATGCAATATTAGTCAAATTCAGATTCAAAAAAAAAAAAAAACAAATTTTCACCTTTATAGGAATGGTATATTATAAATATAATTTATATTTAAAGCTAAATTATGCTATGGGTGGTAACATATGCAGGTAGTAAATATTATCAAAACTTATTTCTATAGTTAAATTTTAAATATTAAATAATAATCATCTCAAATAAAGTCACCACCCCAAAAATGTTAACTTTTCTAATCATTTCATCAAATTAAGTACTACAGGCTAATACTGAAACGAGTAATAAAAATTGATTATCTGATACAGACATATAATAATAATTTTGTCCATAAAAATATCTCTTATAGATATTTTTCAGTTGCCAAATATTTGAAGTCAGGCTACCGAAATGGCCATATTTCAAAATATATTGTTTCCAGCCTTTTGTTACATAAACATACATGTTATATACATACACACACATGTATATATATACATATAAACTATTATTAATAAGCGTTGACTGAAATTTGTCATCTGTGCAAAGGCTATCAAAAAATGTCTTTTCTAACAAGTGTTTACATATTTGCTTTGTATCGAATACTATTTAAAAAATATTTATTATACATGCATCAATGATACATATTTTAAATTTACAATACTTAATACTTTTAGTAAGGTCACTATGATTTGTTGAATAATTTAAATAACTCAAAATCCATTAAAATAATAAATACTGCTAAACAATTAGCAACATACTGTATGGATAATACATAAAATTACTCGGAGTTCAAAAAAAAAAAAATAATAATAATCATGAGTACACACATCCACTTGTACACTACTTAAATTACTTATACACGAAAATGATATAAAATAAAGATTTTATTGTTACGTCAATATTTGGTATTCTTAAATTTTTCATTCATTTCATGACTAAACAGATAATGTAATAAAATTGAAATGATAAATTATGATATATGTGTGTGCTTATCATAGCAATATATATATATATATATATATATATATATATATATATATATGTACATATACCAAACACACACATATATTCACATCATGAATATATAATTTGACCCCAGTAATTGAACTTTTAAAAATATAACAATACTGTAAATACCGTTTTGAAAAAATCATCAAGCAAAAATTCATAGCAATGAAAACTATAACAAAATTAAACTATTATGTAATTAACAACAGTAGTTAAATAGATTTTGTACAAATAATATTAGGCAAAATTATCACTTATTAAAACAAATGCGCAGAATAACATATGTACATACACATGTATATACATGTTATTTATATAGTTATACATTACATACAGTAGAACCCCATTAAGACGATCACAATATGATTTCTCACATAATATCAGTCCATGCACTTTGAAACATATTTTCATTATTTCTTAATGCTTAATATGATTATTCGTCAACAGCTTTCACAAGCCAAAGCAAAATGAACTGACGCTTTAAAAAAAATTAAGATATTCAAAATTTTCGATACTAAGAACAAATTAATCTTATATAGCTGCTGAACTTCAATTAGCAGTTTCTATGTTACGTACCAAACGAATGAATGAATGAATTATAAATTTGAAAATGTTTTTGTGGTATGGTTTCATCAAGTACAAACTTTAAACCTGCCCAAAAGAATGAATTGTTCAAGACTTATTGTTCTGGCCTGTGCCAATGGGTCTTACAATTACTTTATGTTTCAAAATCAAAATCAACATAATACATAGTAATACTAAGTAGAAGGTATACTATTTTTCCTATCTAACATGCTTTCTCACTTATGACGTGTTTAGGTGGGTCCCTGAGAAATCGTCTTAACACGGTTTTATTGTATGTGTATTTATAAAACCCATAGCAATCTCTAAACAGAGAGCGACATCACACAACATCACAATACTAAAATTCTGCATAATCACAAACATACATTAAAGCATAAATTAGCATTTAATCTGAAGTCTATGTTACTAAAATAAATATGAGTCATATTTTTCCTATCTATATATACAATTCATTTAATATATTCATTATAACTTAGATTAGTTTTGCAGTGGACTAATACACTCTTCAGGTGTTAATGAATGAACGGACGACCGCTTGTGATTTGTATGTCTATGTTGTGAATTATGTGTTAATGTGTTTATATTGTTAACTTTGGATTCTTTATCTAAATCGGCTATAGGAATACTAAAATCATCTGTTGGAAAGATTTCATTACTTCTCTTATCAGAATCACCAGTACCACTATCTTTACAGCTAGAATGGTCAGATACTGCATCAGTATAAACATTAGCATGAGGCTCTTCCATTAGTGCTGGACTTGCCTCAGCTATAGTATTTTGTTTCTTTTTTAAGCGCTTTCTAATATGATAAATTATTACAACCCAACCTATTGATGTACCAACAGCACAGCAAACAACTGATATTACAATTACACCTATCATATAGTTATCAAATGTGTCTATGACTGGATTTACATTAAGTTTCATGGATCCTCTCTTTGATCCAACTGAATTAGTTAATTCACATATATATGTGCCTGCATCACTCATTACTGTTCCTGTAATAATGAGCAATTGATCTTCAGCTGTGAAGAAATGCCTGAAAAAATTAATAATGATATTAATTAATGACTGCTTATAAAATACATAAATAAAATAAATGTAATAAATACCTTTTTGTAGCCTGAATGGGTCCATCGTCCTTTAGCCAGCGTAAAGTAGGCTTAGGAGTACCTGCTGCAATACATTCGATCACAATAGCATCACCAACTATCACTTCTTTATTTTCCATTGGTTTAGCAAAAAAAGGTATTTCTTCAATAGACAAAGTAGCATTTACTACTATCATGCCTGCAGGATTTTTAGCAGTACAACTGTACACACCCATATCAGCTACCTTGACATTAGTAATGAAAAAAACATTATCAGTCGGCATTATATGCATCCTTCTTTCACGAGCTGCAGGAAAGTCATTGCCACCATCTTTACGCCAAGCTACTTGAGGAAGAGGTTGTCCTGTTGCAGAGCATTCTAAACGTGCTGTGTTGCCTGGTTTAACTGTAATATTCTTCGGTATTCTTTCAAAACTTGGATAAGCTGAAACAACATAAAAGATGAAATATAATGAAGTGCATTAATGGAAGAATACAAATAGAATTATAAAATAAATTGCTTTTGAACAATTTTTGTAAATAAATAGTACTTGTATTCAAAAACTAATTTTAAATACTCACTAACAACTACAATTCTAGATCTTGTTGAGTACGTTTTTCCAAAAATATTTTCAACAATACATTGATATTTCCCAGCATCATCATGATTTACATTGTATAGTCTGAGTTCAGAGGTAGCTTCAGAAATGCGTCCATCAGGAGAACTATCAAATTCAGTAACCTCAGCATTCTTAAATGAAATTCATCAATTTAGAAAGTTTTTTAATATTCTTCAGGTAGGAAAATTATCGAGGTTCATATTTTTACCTTTATATCAAAGTTATCTCTTTTCCAATAGAACACCATGGATGAATTTGTACTGGAACTTGCTTTACAAACGAGTGATACATTATCGCCTTTTATAACCATTTGTGATTTAGGTTCACTTATAATTTTTGGTTTAGGAGAATCACCTATTACAATTAATAAATACTCAAATTATTAAAAAATAAAATATTGAATGAACTAAATATTAGGGTAATATTATACACTTCTCAACAAAATAGCAATAATGGTAGTTTTTTTGATTACTTACTGCATGTCAAATTTTCAGCTGATAACTTTACCAGTGGTTCACCCCAGAGTGATATAGGGTATGAACAACGATTGTGATCAACATTAATTTCTGGATGATTTTGGAACCATATATTAAGCCATTGTAGATGGCAATCACACAAGAGACTACTTGTGTTCATATGCAATTGCTAAAAAATCAGAAAACAGTATAAATTTATTCATAAAAAAATAAATAAAATAGCATTAAAATAATTACTTGTATGTTTACTAAAACTGAAAAGGCATTTTCATAAACAGATGTAATATTGTTATTAGTTAAATCCAATTCTATAAGTGAATTTAATCCTTCGAAAGCCTTTTCTCCAATGGATTTAATATTATTTGATGCTAAAGATAAATATTGCAGTATTTCTAGTCCAACAAATGGTCCATTTTGATCTTCAATTGTCCATGAAATTTTGTTATTACCCAAATCCCTGAAAAATTATTTATTAATCAATACATTTCAGTATAAAAGGTTCGCACAAGCAACTGCAGAAGTATTACAGTTTAAATCTAGGTAAGATATATTTTATAACAATGATAAATAATATAAATATCACTACATACTTAGGAAATTATTATGATTAGTGATTACTATTTAAACATAAGAACTTACAATAATGTTAATTTTGAGGTGTAAAAGAAAGCATTTTCTTCAATTAAAGCAATATCATTGCTATATAGCTGTAGCTTTTCCAAATTAGCAAGATTTTCAAACGTCCCCTTCTTAATGGCATATATTTGATTATTTGAGAGATCACTAATAAACAGAAAATCACATAGTTAGCTATGATCAATATACAACATACTCGATTTATCAAAACTTACAGTTCCCTAATATTTTTACAAAATTCCCAGACAGAATCATTAATTATTGATATTAGGTTGTGAGATAATGATAATGTTGTAAGTGTACTGAGACCATAGAATCCAGCTTTATGCACAGTAGTAATAGAGTTGTAATCTAATTGTCTAAAATGTAAAAATTATTTAACACAATAAATAAACAGTTCCAAATCTATCTTTTCTCATAGATAGATTTTCAATAAATATTATCTTCATAAATACTCACAAGTGTGATAATTTTGTCCCATAAAATGCACCATCCTTAATTTCTCTGATTTGATTCTTACGTAATTTTAAAAATGTTAAATTTTTTAAATCTTGAAATGCCAATCCATTAATTTCTTTCAGTTGATTACGATTTAATTCTCTGTAATTGCAATATAAATATAGTATGCAAAATTTAAAAAACAAAATTATAACAGATAAATAATACTTACAAAGTATTTAATGAGAATAAATTTATGAAAGCTTCTTTATATAAATGAGATATCCTATTTCGATTTAATTTTAATTCGGTCAATGATGTCAAATTTCTAAAGCTTGAACTGTTCATATACTTTATTCGATTATTATTTAAATTCCTATAAAAAAAATCCGTAAGACCACATATATAATTACATCACTAGTTTATAAATAATACTTACAAATTTTTTAACACATTTTGATGTGGAAAGCTCATGTGTTCTATAGTATCAAAGCGATTATTGCTCAAATCGAGTTCCACTAAACTGGGTAAATGTTCAATTTCTTTATAATTTATGCTTGATAAATCATTATGTGATAAGTAAAGCTTTTCAAGAGATCTGGATGTTAGAAGAGGAAGTGTTTTCAATGAATTTTTATTCAATTTTCTGAAAAATAATGCATAAGGTAAAAAATATTACCGAAGACAAATTCATAACAAATCATATAATACGAAACATACAGTTCTTTCAATTCAGATAATTGTGCTAACGATTTACTAGGATCTCCAGCAAAAGCATTATTACTAAATTCGCTGTAAGAAAGCAATAACAGTCAGTTTTTACATGATCAAAAGTAATACACAACATTGAAAATAATACTTACAGTGAATCTACCCAACTGGGCGATGTATTTGGTATTTTTGTCAAACCTTTTTTAGAACAATCCATGTAAGTGCCTAAGCACGAACATATATTTGGGCAATCATCACAATTGACAAAGGTTAAACTTAAAGTCAGAACAAAATATAAACAAAAGACCACCATCTTGTAAATTATTACGAAATTATTCACTAAACATTTTGTCTACTACATTTAAAATACTCGTGGGTAACATAGCACAAACAATAGATAATTGATTGATTCACTTTAATCAGTACAGTCTTTCCAGAATTATTAAAGATAATGATATTACAAGTTAAATTACATTACACACATCAACCATTTTGATTATTTTGTTTGCTTTATGTTGTATAACAAGATCCACAGACTACGGTTTATAGAGTGTCAACATGACAGAGAAGTCTAAAGATCCAGATATGCAACTTACGCATGATTATTTTTTCTTAAAATTCCTTGCATGCGACATTTGTTATTATTGAGTTGGTGTTACTGAACAATAATATAAATATTTGTTTGATTACTGCACAATGTTGACAGCTGTCACTTTGTGCAATTCAACGAACTTGATCTAAGTATTTCATTATATAGTTATATTTATGAATGTCTAGTATTTATAAAAGTGATACTGCCTGTATACCATGTCTGCTATGATAACTGCTGATTGGTTTACGTTGGGAAGGGATGTATATTATAGGTATTGAAATGTAAAAGATTGCAACAAAATATTATAGTTATATTCCTTATACGTATTGCAATTTATTTTTATTGAAGTTTCTTATACAAAATAGTTTAATTTCAACCTCATAAAACATTTAATTATATATATATATATATATATATATATATATATATTTCATCGTAATATGCAGTATTATTAGAATCCTGCTATATTTTTCTATACAAATATCATTTATATAAAAACCTATTATCTAAAGATATGATAAACTTTTAATCCTTTTTTAAATAAGTTGAGAATTTGTACACTTCATATATATGCTTTTTAGTATACATTATGCGTACATAATGTTGTCTGAATACTATATTTTTTTTCAATAGGAAATATGAATTATACTGTATGGGGTGGCAGAATGAAATAAACTTGAATGATATGATGCTTTATGCTGCACCATATGGCGGACCAATAGCTTTAATGAGAAATTACAAAAAGATTATAAGAGTGCAAGGCTCTACAAACCCAATCATCTACATATACACATCGTCTGGCCAGAAAAATGCATCAATAGTGGTTAATATTTTGAATTAATTTTATATAGAGTTAAATATTTTTATATGTTTTATTTTTATAGTGGAGCGGTAGCAATATAATTACATTAGGATGGTCAGATGCAGAAAAATTAATTTGCGTTCAGGAAGATGGAAATGTGACATTGTATGATATATTTGGAACATTTTTGCATACATTCAGTATGGGTACTGAAGCAAAAGACTTAAAAGTAATACTCTAATAAAAATTATTATTAAATTACATGAACAAAGTACATTGTTCATTTGTTTTAGGTGAAAGATGCAAAAATATTTTTAACGAATAGTGGAACAGGTGTAGCTGTGATGACATCAGCGTGTAGAATTTTTATTATTAATAATATAGAAGAACCAAAGATTAGGAAACTACCAGAATTGCCTAGTAATTATTTAGGTATTTAAATAAGTATGCATGGCAAAATACAAAAAGTTATTAGAACTTATGAGTTCGACTAAAAGAATATTAGTATATTACTTTTTATTGTCGTTAAAATATTGATTAATTTTGGGTATGATTTATGGAAAATAAGTTAAGAAATTTATAACAATGAAATTACATAGTTTACATTACAGGTAGTAAAGCAACATTATATTGGACTGTTCTATCCGAGGACAGAAATACTATGGCTATTGTCTCATGTGGACATGAGATTTATGCTTTATACCAAGATAAAGAATTGCCTTTGTCAAGAGAATTGAATTTATCTACTGAATTTACTCATATTTGTGGTATGGCTGTGTCTTTGAATAATAAACATATTGCAATATATACAGATTCTGGAACTCTCTGGTTAGGATCCTTGGATTTGCAGAAAGGGTATATTTGAATAAATTTTTATGAATGAAATAACAAAGTAATCAAGTTACTGCTGAAGAAGTATCATTTATTAATGTTACTATGTAGGTACTGTGAAATTAAAATTGATGAACCTGATGCCATACTTCAGCAATTAGTCTGGTGTGGTACAGAAGCTGTCATTGGTTTGTGGTCCAATATTTTATATGTTGTTGGAAGAAATGGTGATGTTGTACAGTATCCTTATGATAACATTCATTTGATTCCTGAAATTGATGGAGTACGAATGATATCAGAAGCTAACCATGAAATGATACAGAAAGTTCCCAGTGTTGTGCAGCAGATTTTCAGAATTAATAGCACAGATCCGGGTTCTTATCTCTTGGAGGCTTCCAAACAGTTTCAGGTTTATCATTTTGTTATGTTATATGGCATATGAAATGATTATAACATTTTTTAAAATTTTCAAATGTTGATGTATATTTATATTTTTCTAAAGATGATTTCACATTTAACTAAAAAGCTCTCTTTATCACGCCTTTCTTTAAAAAAAAAAGATTTTTTACCTATTTATAATATCATTTTCAGCGTCGAAATCATAGAGCTGATGAATATATAACTCTAGTTAAAGATCAATTACCTAAGGCAGTCGCGCAATGCTTAGAAGCAGCTGTTCTAGAATTTGATACTTCAACGCAAAAAATGCTTATAAGGGTAATGTTTTATTATATGTATATATATATTTAAGTTAATACTTTATATTTTATTGAAATGATCATTTCAAATAGGCTGCATATTTTGGAAAAGGTTTCATAAATGGTCATTCACCAAAGTCATATGTTGAAATGTGCAGAATTCTAAGAGTACTAAATGCAGTGAGAGACAGACGAGTCGGGATTCCGCTAACATATACGCAGTATCCTTGACATGCTTAAATAATGGTTTTAATTTATTAAATGAAAAAAAGTCTTAACACGTTTTATTAGATTTGAATGCCTTACAGCCCAAGTGCTTTTGGACAGATTAGTATTGAGAAAACATTATTATTTAGCAATTCAGATTGCAAAATATTTAAAACTGTCTGAAAAAGGAATATTAGCACACTGGGCACGTCATAAGGTAAACTGTAAACTATCTGCAATGATAAATGTATTGTGATATACCTCTTGAAATTTAGAAACCCATTTTTAATAAAGTATATTTTCAAGGTGATTCAATCAAAAGTTCCTCCTGAAATTGTAGCGAAAGAAATTGCTGAAAAAGTAAGCCATAATCCAAGAGAATTTTCTTTCTGGCACATTGCAAAGTATGCTGCTGATAACGGCAGGAAGGATTTAGCTATAAAGGTAAAATATTTCTTTATGTTTGGTGATGGCTTATTTTAACCTTTTGAATAATTTATTGACCTTTTTATTATTTCAGCTTCTGGATCATGAAGTTTATGTTGAGAAACAAGTATCATTGCTATTAACTTTAGATCAAGGTCAATCTGCATTAATCAAAGCAATTGAAAGTGGAGATACCGATTTAGTTTATGCTGTGATAATTGATATTCAGAGTAAAACATCATTATCTAAGTTCCAGGTAAAACTGCTTTTTTCATAATTGCAAGAATATATTAAATGCTGCATAAAGTAATTAATAAAAACAAATTTATTGAAAATGTGACTTTCAGATGATAATTCGTAATTTTCAAGTTGCGCAAAGTCTGTATTTAAAATATTCACAAGGAAAAAATAGAGAAGCATTGCGTGATATATACATTCAAGAAGATGATTATAACTCCCAAGCTGCTTTGTATATTACTGAAAGCTTAGAACCCAAGGTGAGTTCTAATATAATTAATAAATAATATTTTTTAAATACTTAACAATGGCTTAACACATGCAATTTTTCAGAAGACATTTTTTTCATTTAATAATAGTGTTAATAAACGTAGTAGATTTGTTTCCTTAGTCAAAATTTTTATTTCAGAATTCAACAACAAGAGACACAGTTTTATCTGCAGCCCAGGAAGCTTTTAAGAAAGCAAGGAATGAAATTGGAGTTACTTTGTGTGATGAAACAAGAAAATTATATAAATACCAAAGAAGGCTGGAGGAAAAATTTGAACGCAGCTTTATGGGACTGTCTATACATCAAACAGCAAAGGCATTACTGAAATTACAACAGATCAAGCTTGCTGACAATTTCAAGTCGGAATATAAAATTCCAGATCGAAGGTGATATTTTGCCCATTTATTGCTAAATAAATACCAATTTGGTGGTTTCAAATGTTTGAACACTTGGTGATCGAATGTATTTCAGATACTGGTGGTTACGCATAGAAAGTTATGCAGAAAATGATGAATGGTCGGAATTAGAAAAATTTTCAAAGGCTCGGAAAAGTCCTGTGGGTTATGAGCCTTTTATAGATGTGTGTTTGAAATATAATAATATATTTGAAGCTCAGAAATATGTTTCCAGATGCAAGGACGATTTGAAAGTGAAATACTATGTTAAGCTCAAGTAAACATATTATTAGAAACAAAATTTATATTAAATATGTAGCAAATAAGAAGTTATTTGTACAAAATTTATTTCAGAATGCTGGATAAAGCAGCTCAGATAGCATTTGAACAGAAAGATGTTCAGAGTCTACTGTTTGTCCAAGCTCATTGTGGTACTTCGAATAATACAGTTGCTGAGCTGACCAAGAAATATATAGAACAGTTAGCTGCTAAGTAAATAAAAAGTAATGTTAATATATTGAATGTTATAAATTTATTAGAAAATTGTTAAACATTTGTATTTATTATGTATAAAATAATTTCAGAAATTTTGTATGCTTATTAAAAATAAATTATTATGAGATAATAAATTAAACATCAATAATTAACTTTTGTATAAAATAAATTTATTTTTTCCATTAACCATTATTTTCCATTTTTATTGATTACACAAAATCAAAATAACAATATAAGACCATTCACACCACATTCATTTGAATGTAATATTTTAATTATCATTCAACGTCATTTAATATTTTCATAAAAAATATTTCACTTAACTTATTTTTTCCATAAACCATTACCTTCTATTTTGTACTTTATTTTGCATTGATTATGCAAAATTAGAATAATAATAAAAGACCACTCATACCACATACATTTGAATATAAAGTTTTGGAAAGTATTTAACATGACTTATTTTTTTCATAAACCATTACTTCCATTTTGTAATTCATTTTGCATTGATTATGTAAAATCAGAATAATAATAAAACACCACTCACCATATACACTTGAATATAAGATTTTAAAAAGAATTTATTGTAACTAGATTTGATGACTTAGAACCTTTTTTTTTGTAAATTGTTAATATTATATCAGTTCTTGTGAACATTAGCGTTCAAAATACATATACATTTCTTTATAGTGACTATTTGGACCTCTTTCTTAAGTAGTATTGATAAATGCCAAGAAATGAAGATATAGTAGCAACCAACCCTACCTAAAATATTTACTTGGTTGAAATTAAATTTCAAATTATTATGATATTCAACAAATAATTTTTACATACTTGTGCTGAATTAAGTCTTCCACCCCAAAGCCATCCTTCAGGCAGAGTACTAACAGAATGTATAAGATCTAATGCTCCTCTTATGCTTGCTATGTATTCTAACTGCTGAGCTTGCAATAATCTATCCATAATATCGCTGAGAATATATTTAGTACCTTATATTAGGACTCTTTCCGTAAAAAGTGTATAAAATGGGTTATATGAAGGATCAATAGATATTTATGGCATCAATGAAAATGTGAGAATTGTATGTTTCATATTATAATTCATCTTTAATAGTTTTGATTAAGACAAAAAGTGAGTTTGATAAAACAATCCACCGTCATAAATTTTTACTAATGTTTCAGACAAATATTGAGGTAAAAATTTATTTATTATATATTTATCAAAAATATTATGTATGTTTTATATAAAAAATCCAATACAATATTAAGTACCTGGGTCTAACACCTTTCTCAAGTAAGCACATCTTGTGGTTATGAATCAAACTTATACTCCTCAAAGATCTTGAAAACAAATAATTATTATCAATATTAAGTCACTGAGAAAAGCACTCAAATTATTCGACAACAGAATAAGTACAATAAATTTATAGAACCAAACTAATCTAAGTCTTAATGAATTATTCTTTCACTAATATCATTTGTAAGATCTAAGAATAACTTACTTCATAAGCGATAAGTAAATAGAAGCAACCCAAAACACAGAACTGATATTATCCCATTTGTTTGGATTTTCCACATTAAGAAGTTTATATTCTGCCAACCAGCATACTTTCTCAATTGGATAATAAAGTTGGTCTATAATATTTGTAACAACACCCAAAAATGACAAGCAACTATCAGGTTCCTATCAAATGGAAAAAAAGGCTTTTGTGTTACTTTAATATTAAAATCAATGATAATTATTCAGAAATTAAATTTAATATCAAAGAATGTAATATTTTAGTTATGAAGCAAAGAAAATAAAAAATTATATTTTTTTTCAGTTCAATTGAAATTATATATGCAATAGAATAATGTTGAAAAACTTTTTAAAACAGGAAGGAAAACATAGTGAAAGTAATCATAATAAATATTAACACGTTAACGGATATGTGCCTCTATTGCCGTCAAAGCAAAGTTTACTATGCGACAATAGCCATCTAAAAAGCAACGGTCCTTTTTAGCCACATAACAGCACAAATTTGTATTTGTCGGGTTACAAAAGGAAACATAATGTAGTTTTATTTTGGAAACAATTTTTGAAGTAAAACTTCTTTAGGGGCGACTAGGGTGTAAATCTGTGAGAATGCAACGGAAATAGCGCTACGCCCGAATTGTATGTCATTCGCTTTGGATGAAATCATTTCTATACCAGTCGATTGTGATTAATCGTCGTGTCGCGTGAATAGAGATCTGTCGTTGTATGCTTACCAACATCGACAAGGAAATCAGCATAGATAAATAAACATTCTAAGGTTACATGGTAGTACAAATCTTGATTTAATAAAAAATGCCGGAATTAAAGAATATTTAACCCTGTTCCCAATTAATTAATAGTAAATAATTATTGAAATAATAATTACAAATAAATTTTGCCATTATTAAAACGTAATTTTTAGGCAAGACAGATATTACAGCTGTTCAAAGAATGAGATTATATCGCCAGCAAAAAAGTAAAAAAATACAAGCCGTCAATGAATGTATGTTAATTTTAATTACTTGAAGTTCTTCAAAACAATTATTACATGATAAGTGAAATTGTAAAAACAATATTTCTTTAGGCGTTGTTTAACATAACCTGAATATGAACGAATATTATAGAATTTATTAATCAGCAATTACTTAATTTCTCTAATAAAGATTCAAGTCGTAAATGCTAATTATAATCACAAACCGATCATGTCATATTTGAAGTATAACTTTAATTACATTATTGTTTTCAAATATTATAAATATTTTTAATGCTAATATAAATATATAATTTTTAATTTATTATATAAATGTGTATAATGGTCGACACTAATAAATGTGTGCATCACGAGTGTTACCACATTACTAACAAACATTATTCAAAATTGTTATATGATGTATTTATTTTTAACTTGAAAGCAATCTCATGCAATAGCAAAAAAGTTTTACTTCAATTGCATGTGAATCTTATGCACACTCTTTTTTCGATTGCGTTTTATTTTCTGACTGTTATGAAGTATAAATCTATTCATCTAAGATATATTTTATTATTGTCTAGGCATCTAACATTCTATAAACTAAAAGAGTGTTAATTTTTGAACTTTACTTGTTTTATCTGCCCATCAACGTGTTAATTAATACAAAATGTGTATACCGTTCTACCAAGTCCGTATTGAAGAGTATGCTGTAGCATAGGTATATCATCAAGTAGTCTCAATGTAGCCCTAGTTTTAGACATTTGTGAACTGAATATTTGGAATTTTTTAGACAAGGCAGGATCCTTATCAATTGTCAAACCTGATGCAAGCTTCATTCCATAACACAATGTCCTCATCACCTAGTATACAGACAAGTGATGTAAAAAGAATGGTTTTTATCAAGATTCTATTGAAATTTTACCTTGTCTCTCCCGCTATAAGTACTTAGCATTTCACATATTTCGTCTAAAATCATGATTGCTATTAAAAATTATATATTTTTTCTATAGACAGATGGTGAAATAAACACTTCTATAATTCGAATGCCTAAAGGTCAACTCATTCCGGAATTCTAGTATTGAATTTCGCCTCATATCTCCTTCTACTCGCTTACAGATTTCTAATATCAAATGTCACGTCAAAACTTGTAGTAGTAAGATATTTTAATTCTGAAACTGTCATAATGGTGTCAAAAATAAATAAAGCATCGTGTTCATCGCTGCCAACACTGGGATAATAAAAACCCAATGTCAATAACAAATTTTATCTATTTGATAAGTAACCATAACCAACAACAAAAGTGTCATCTATCATGTTTTGTATATGCAATAATTCGTGAATGATTTGCCAAATTGGTGTGATCTTATAAAAGCATTTTAATTTTTTCGACACACTTTAGTTAAGTTTAAAAAATAACGAATGGTAACAGGCAACTGGTTTGACATTTTTAAATCTGTGATAAAAGTGTTAAAAAAACTTTTTTCCTTTCATTATGAATCACAAATATTGTTTTGTAGTCACTACATAATGCGATTAATGTCGGAAATTTGTTATACAGTTAATGTGTCTAATATTTATTAAATGAAATGTGTTGTGAGTGTTGTTGATTGTTTTCAAATAATTAGTGTCATATGTCATAGTGAACGGATGTTAGGAGATCACAATTAAAGGTAAATATGACAGTTTTATTTGTTTTTGCTATTTTATTTATAATTCCAAAATGTCATGATAATTATCAAATTATTTGCTATAGTAATCTTTCTGATGTAATTTAGTAAGATAATGGAACTCTTGGATTATTAACAATAAGTAACGCCTTATCTGTAACGTTTCCTTGGTTTAATGCAGTGGTTTCCAACCTTTTTTGCACCGCGCCCCCCTGCTTTAACAAAAAAAAGAGTGCGCGTAAGGTTCACACGCGATTGAAGTAAAACTTATTTGCTACTGTACAAGATGGCATTTAAGTAAAAATAAATACATCATATAACAATTTTGAATAATGTTTATTAGTAATATGGTAACACTCGTTATGCACACATTTATTAGTTTCAACCATTATACACATTTATATAATAAATTAATATGCAAATATTTAAAAACAATAATTTAATTAAAGTCATACTTCAAATATAACATGATCGGTTTGTCATTATAATTAGCATTTAGAAAACCTTTCGCTGGCGATATAATCTCATTCTTTGAACAGTTGTAATATCTGTCTTGCCTAAAAAAATATTGACCATTTTAATAACTTCAAAGATTTATAGAAATATTTATAGAAAACTACGAATAATATAGAAATAATTTCTAATCAATAAACTTACGTTTAGTACACGGCCCAAATGTTTAATTTGTTTTATTATTTTCAAGGAACAGGGTAAAATATTCTTCTGATTCAGGCATTTTTCATTAAATTAAGATTTGTACTACGACGTAACTTTAAAATGTTTATTTATCTATGTCGATTTCCTTGTTGAAATCGGTAGGCATACAACGACAGATCTCAGATTCACATACACGATGACTAATCA